TGTTGTTGATATTAACGTCTAGCTTGTAGAATGAGAAATTTACCAAGACTATACTACCAAAACATTTCAAGCATAGCAACTTTGCGAGTTTTGTTCGACAACTTAATAAATACGACTTCCATAAAGTGCGGCATAATGAAGAGAATGGACAATCCCCATATGGCGCATCTGTAATACTTGCCTTCCTCGGTGTAGATACTGGCTCGGGAGATACTAACGGCGTATATAGGCGTGGGAATTCAAACATCCCGAGTTTCGGGCTGATAGGAAAGACAACCTCGATAATATCCGACGAAAAGCCCCGGCACCTAGGAAGGCTCAGGCCGCGGAGGAGCAGTTCGGGGTTTCTAACCAACAAGTCCTTGTTCTTAGCGAGACGCTGGCCGCGACACAGCAGCAGGTCCAGCAACTTCAAGAATCCTATCACGAGATTGTGAATGCGAATAAGATCTTCGTAGATGAAATACTTCACCTACAGAAGCTAGTCCGCGCGCAAAACCAGGTGCACAACGAACTCATCAACCATTTAAACAAGGCCGAACAGGAGAGGAAAGACACTCGAAATCCAGGTCACTCAGCAGGCGGATATTCTTCAAACACCTCTAATCTCTTGTCAGACGGCTCCGAGTCGCCTCTCGAGCTACGCCGAGCCCGCGATATTCTAAACAGCCTCCAGGTAGATCATGTTGCAGACCGGGATCTGAATCGAATGTCTGTTCAATTACACCAAGTAGGCGGTTCTCCCGAATCCGCTGGATCTTCGGGGATGATGGGACCGCCTGGCGTAGGTGGTGTAAATCCATTCCTGCATGACCCTCTGAATGACATGCGGCATCTTGTATACCCCGTTGGTCAAACAGTAGGTATAGACCCCTTCGCCGCCGAGCATATTAACAACCTTCCGTATAATCGGCCGGTACAGGACAATGCGATGGGCCCTGGTCACGAATTTAACGGCCCGGCTATGCACTCTCAAACCCCTCCGGGAGCTGCATCGCAAGGTGGTTCGCCTTGGGGGTCTAAGAAACCGGTCGTCCTTCTCGTGGAAGATGATAGAACATGTTCTCGAATCGGCTCTAAATTCCTTGCCCAGTATGACTGTGGTGTAGAGATTGCAGTACGTAGTTGTAGCTTTCGACTCGTGTAGCAGTGCGTGTTTGGCTAACAGTTCGATGCAGCGCGATGGTCTCGAGGCTGTGAACAAAGTCAATGCGAAACAGCATTACTACGACCTCATTTTTATGGATATCATCATGCCGCAGCTGGACGGTGTCTCGGCAACTGCCATGATCCGCGAAGTACAGCCCAATACGCCAATTATTGCCATGACTTCCAACATCAACCAGCAGGACCTCGAGACGTACTTCCACTGGGGTGAGTAGAATCCACTTTTGACCTTATACTTTCGTTGCTTGGATACTAACTTCGTGCCCAGGTATGCGAGACGTGCTTGCCAAACCATTCACCAAGGAGGGAATGATCGGTAAGCTCAGAAAGCATCTTGCCAATTTCTTGCGGAATCCCCCTCCGGAGAGTATGATGGACTCGATATATCCAAATGGAGCTCCAGGTCAGCCACCGACACCTGGTCCGTATTCAAATCAGGGTATGGGAATGGCGCCATTATCGGCGGCTTCGTCTGGCCCCGTCGGGAAGTTTGATACTACCCCGATACAATCGCCAGCCACGAGTGCTTCGTGGCATTCCCCGGGTCAGATACCGCATGCTTCGCCGACAATGGCCCAGGACCAAGGGTATCTCGGCGCAGGTAGCGGTTCGCAGATGGTATTAACGCCAGGCGGGACTCAGAAACCGCAGTATGCGAATACGATGATACCTCAGATGGGCGTACCCCCTCCGCAAAGGATGCCTGACGGTATGCAGCGCTCGGAAGGGCCCCCGGAGAAGCGACAGCGACTGTACGCGTCACAGACGAATTATAACCAATAACCGCCCCCTTGGTAATTTCCCATCGATATCTTGATTCCAACTTGTATATATTCCCAGCATATTTTGGTCTTTCTGCTACCGGGCCCACTGAAATACGGTCGTCGGTGTGTCAAAGAAACGAGGTGCCATTGGCGTCGGTATCGCTACATATCTTATGCATGGGAAGCATCTGGCTGGTTGCCGTGTCAAGTCTGTTTGCCGCAATCGGAGTGGAATAGAGCTCCGTGATAGATCAGGGAATACCCCTTGAATGTTTCTAGAACGTGGTTGCATGTGTATTAGTAACAGGTTGCCAAGAGATGGCTCCTGGGAAAGATGGAGGAGAATGTCGGAGAGTGGTTTGTTTGAGGCTAGATTGGGCATGTCGGGGGGTTCCATGATGTTTGGATAGCATGAGCCCATGCCTTTTTCTGTACGAAAGTCATGTGAGAACTGGTCATGTTCAACATCTCAAATTTGCTTCGGCCCTAGGGTCCAAAAGTAAAGTTACATGTATCTCTGAGCTTGGGTACCTCTTTACCTAGATGACGGAGGGGTCATGGACGAGGGTTTCTACCTCTTGAAAGGTAGCGAGGTCCAATGAATGATTCAAGGATAAAGCGTAGAAGAATAATGAAACATTCTTTGATCCATACGCATCAGTATCTGCATAGGCAAACACTATATAATATCGCTAATATCATCGTGTCAGTAAAGTATTTTTTTCTTCTGTAAGATGGGTGTTGAAATCAAAAGTGGCGTTTAGGTTGTTGAGCGAAGGAATAAGACGGCGCAAATCCAATGCGAGTGAAACATGTTGAACTGGGATCGTTTGTACCTGCCTCCTTGTCTTTTTCAGGGCCAGAGTGCTTGCCCTTTGTGTTTGTTTAAAGTTTGCACTTGCAGTCTGCTGACAAAGTTATAATGGTCTGACACTGCCGGTGGCTTCTTGGATCTAAAGGCAGGAACCCGCGAATAATACCGGAGGAGTGGCACATATAGGAATGGAAAGAATGAAAATCTAGAAGGAACATTATAGATACTTCCCCATGCACTTACCTATTACCTATATGTTGAGATAGGAAAACAAGCGGGGTTTAAACTTTAAGGAATTGAACATTAAAAGGTACGAAAAGCAAACCCAAATTATGGAGTCATCCCGGGCTTCCGCTGGTATTAACCGTTTTATGTGAACTCATATGTGATAGTATCTTAGGTGAGTTTTTAGTATTCCCATACATATGTGTGTACGCGGACAAACTTCATTAACTTATGACAGCAAACAATCGAACGTTACGAGAAAATAAAAGAACATTAGCTGATCTTCAACAAATATATTATGATGGACAACGCCTGGCTCAGCCTAGAATGCGATCGAATTTATGTAAGTATTTGCTGCCAATACCATGGAAGGAGGTAATAAATCCACTTGGCTTTAGAAGGGCCCCGTCCCTATTTCCCTGCACGTGGTGACATGATCTGCTGATCTAGACGCCCGATCTTAAAGAACGAGACCCCTATGGACTAATAGGAAGATCTTATTAATGCTACTTTTGCGGTCTAGCCTTTGGGAAACATGGGGAGAGCCCCTGGAAGTACACTACGAAAGCTTTGGTACAGACTGACTCCCCTGAACCTTGTTCTTTATGTGTTTGCGTTACAATTTCCCCGGATATATATACCTTACTCGTGTAGTTGACGACGAGATCCTCAACGGTTAGAACGCCTCATACGCGGACTGAAGCAGATCACATACGGCTAGACCTACTTGGAGATATAAAACGTGATTTATACGTACGACCCCATACTTCGGCTTACAAGGGGTCAGTAAATGCGACTTGATTTTAGATCTAACCGGGTTTCATGAGAGAGCATAGGGCTGATGGGAATATATGTACATACGTCGGTAGGCTCGGCAGGCTCGGCAGGAAGGGTTCGATACGAAACAGATGAGGCCACTTATTCATAAGCTGGCAACAAGAACGCGGGCGAATCCCAAGTCTAGCTTAGCTACATCTCCTATCTGAGCTAGGTCTACAAGATCGAGACCCTAATCGAGACCTTAGAACATGTCAGTACCCTACGTACATACATACATGACACATATCACATGCGCCTACATATGTATGTAGGCATGCAAGCCGCATGAAGTAACGGTCGGGCTGCGTCTGCGGCCAGGGGTTAGCTGACGAAGTTTGATTTGAGGTCTGGATTCTAGAATTCCAGCCTAGACCGTTGTCTGTTGCACGGCAGTCATTCCACCCTGGCCCACTCTTACTGTTGGTCCCCTGCGTCGCCTGGCCTAGACCGTCCCTGATCCATGGTGGACTATACACCTGGACATATGTAACCTAGGTATATGTATGCTACCTAGGTATGCACACATATATAATCACGCTGATCAGCAGCAATACATGTAACCACATACGTTTTGCGGCGTGTCTTATCATGTAGCTTTTTCGCATCCTAACTTAGAAGTTGGCTATTGGAAGGTAAACTCTAACATCTAATCCGTACAAAGGCACGTATTGGTTGATAGGACGGTCCAGAGATGCCGCGCTGATAACTAGGATCTAACATCATCGTACTTCGTACCTTAATATTGCTTGCTATGTATTCAAGCAACGCACTTAGGTTTCAGCGAAGTTAATTGTGTTCTCAATATCTTTATACCTATTTAAACTATATAGGTGCATAGGTAGATATTAACCTAACGGTTAAAGTATATCTAACTGGAAGATTTCGTTCGAACAAGGTATATGTTGAGTGGAAATCATCAAGTTAGACTGCTTCGGTATGCTCTTCAGCTGGTCCCTGGGGAAGACGGAAGAGTCTCGATAGGTCACGCTTCAGTTGTGTAGTAGGAAAGGTTAATTGCGAGCAAAGTTAGGTACCTGTATACCTTACCTTCAATGTTAGGTATATTTCAAGTCATCATTATATTCAAGATGATAGTCAAACGGAACTGGAATAAGCCGAGTAAGCTCTTAGCGAAGTGTGAAATGCGTTATGACGATTAATGCTGAATATCCGCATTTATGAATAAATATAACCAGATAATGCTATATAGTGGAGTATCATGATAACCAGTACAAGCGTAGCTGCCCCTCCATCAACCTTTGACTCATTTTCCAAAAATTAAAACCGACATGAGCACTTCCAAGTTCACCATCACAAAATCTCCGACAACAGCGCGAATTGAACTGCCATGTCGCAAAATAAAGCCGCGCGAGGCGGTGCCGCGACAAAAGGAAAAAAATCAAGCAAGCCAGGAGCTGAAGACAAGAGAGAAGATGTTCTTCAAGCGGTGGTATGTATTTCCCAAGCATCGCGGGGCATTGATGAGAGCTATCATAGGGCTAACACGGTACATGCGCTTCTGCCTATCTAGCTCATAGCAGATTCCTTTCAGACCAGGTTCCTCCCATTTTCTGTAGAGAGGCCAAGAGTATGTATATTCTACTAGTTTTGCTTGTTTCTGATTGTTAACTACGTCCGGCAGTGTCTCCTCCCACTTGCCAATATACCTCTCATCGAGTACACCCTCGAGTTCCTCGCCATGAACGGCGTGCAGGAAGTCTTTATATACTGTGGAGCCCATCATGATCAGATCGAGCGATACGTCCACGACTCGAGATGGTCCCCTAACTCAAGGTCCTGTCCGTTCTCTAGCCTCGAATTTATCCGTGTTGCCGATGCTAGGTCTATCGGCGATTTTCTTCGAGATCTAGACAAGCGCAACATCATTGGAGGGGACTTCGTACTGGTACATGGGGATCTTGTTTCCAATATTTCCCTTGATGCAGCTTTGGCAGCGCACAGGGCTCGCCGGGAAGCGAATCGAGACTCGTGTATGACTCTGGTGCTGCGAGAAGCTGGTGAAGGAGAGCACAATACTAAGACCAAGGGGCTAACGCCGGCATTTATAATCGACCCGAACGCCAAGCGATGCTTACACTACGAAGAGATACACCCCTTACAGACTGATCGCTACGTTACCCTCGATCCTAGCATACTTGAGAACCGCGAAGCAGAAGCCCGGACAGACCTGATTGATGCCGAGATTGACATATGTACACCAGATGTGCTCGCCTTATGGTCCGAAAGTTTCGACTACGAACTCCCCCGGGCCAACTTTCTCCATGGCGTACTGAAGGACTGGGAGCTGAACGGGAAGATGATCCACACCGAAATTGTTAACGAGGGCTACAGCGCGCGTGCTAAGAACCTTCAGATGTACGATGCGATTAGTCGGGACATATTGAGTGGCTGGACCTATCCATTTACACCTGAATGCAATCTCCTACCGGGTCACTCTTATCAATCACAAGGCGACAGTGTGTATCAGGAGGATGATGTCGAAATTGAGTCTGGAAGCGAAGTATTCGATTCAGTCCTCGGAAAGGAGACTCATGTTGGGTCCGGGAGCGTTATACAAAACAGCATCATTGGCCGAAACTGCAAAATTGGTAGCAACGTCCGAATTACTAACAGCTTCATATGGGATGATACTACGGTTAATGATGAGGCTGTAGTAGAACATGCGATTATAGCTGAGAGAGTAGTGTTGGGTAAGAAAGCCTTCATCCATGAAGGCGTGCTGGTATCGTTTGGGGTTCACTTGGGTGATGGTACGGACGTCAAGCCTGCTACGATGTTATCCCTTCTTTCTTGTGGTGGACAGCTCGTATCGGCACAGCCCGAATTCGTTGGTTCTGGTGGCAAGGGGGCACTCTTTGAGGATCTCGAAGATGATGAGACAGATGTTGATGATCCGTCGAGATTGCAAAAATCACTTATATACTCTCTCGAAGATCTTGACCTCTCCGATTCTTCTGTCTCGACACTCGCGGATGACGATGATTTGTCTGACGATGGGTCGGGTCCAATATCGCCCAGCGCTAGTCACCCCACCTCGAGATCGCGACTTTCCTCCTTCGCTTCCGATGATTCAGGAGGCCAGACATTTTCCTCCTTTCACTCAGACGCTGTTCATGGGCTGCTGGATGTTCTCCGCGGGATATCGGGTAACTTTGAATCAGAGAAACTTGAGTTCATGTCACTACGACTTGCCAACAATGCGTCTGATGCCGCTATGAGGAAGGCGGTTGCGACGGCCTTCGTTCGTCGCGCGGTCGAGCTTATAAATTCCGAGAATGATGCTTTGGAACCGTCAAAAGCTGCTAAGCAGGTACTCACCTCACGAGAGGGTGCTACGAATTTCGTCTTAGAGGTTGGCGTTGGTGATCATTCCGTATCAGAACAAGTCGAATTCGCGCTGGCGGTGCAGAAAGCGTGCGTGAGTAGTTCCAGATTTGTTGAAGTTGCCAAAACTGGCAACCTCCTTGCTGCTATGCTGCAGCAGATGTACGATCTTGATATCCTCGAAGAAGAGGGTATCCTAGGTTGGTGGGAAGACGATAGGGGTAAGGAGGACGGCTTGATGTCGGAGGTACGGGAAAAATGCCAGGCACTAGTTGAGTGGCTTGAAAACGCCGACGAAGAAAGCGACGAGGAAGAAGACGACGACGATGAGTGATGGACATAATCATAATGCCATCATAATGCCATCATAATGCCATCATAATGCCATCATAATACCATGTGAGACGAGTTGGGCCGACGCCCTTTTTATCCTCACGCTGAAATACCTTACGGCACCAACAGTATGCTATACTAAGCGACGGGGTTCCTGCCTGGGACTTCCCGCCGCCCTCGGCATCACCACATTAGCTTTGGGGGTAATCATGAATCCTACGAGGATATGGTTTGGGCTCATGCGGGGTAATGCCAGGGGGTTCATAAGGGGTTCAGGATTGCGTTGAAATATATGCATGGGATGATTAGTAGCGAGCTGCTATCGGCAGTCATAGTAAGAATTTGGCATAGGGTTCTTCTATTCTGAACATAGATCGAGCCATAATGAGAATAGAACAGTAAAATTGCAAACTTATTACCTCAAGTACCTAAGTAACTTGGGTGACGTGTAGGTACGTTGTGATTTTTGATTGAGCTTGAATGTTCCGAGCTTGGGAATGTTCTATGCTATTGGCGGGGGTTTTAGTTTTAGATGTTAGCACTTTAAGTTGGTACGCGTTATGCGATTAACACGAAGACGCGTCTTGACGCGCTTACTTCTAATCTTTCAATTAAACAATTAGTTAAACAATTAAACTTGCCCCTCCACCTGTCAATCTATATCCTTATTAGACACCTAACATTGTTGATTAGAATAATGACCGTATTGAATTAAATTTATAAAGTCTCGTCAAATTAATTCTACTAAAATGCCTCACTCAATATCGCCCGAGACCGATAACCAAAATCCCACCGTCGAAGAGACCATGGCCGACGCCCCTACTAGAACTGACGAGAGTCAAGATACCGACAATGATATTACTATGGCGGAAACAGATGCATTGTCAGTTCCCGTAAAAGAGGAGGACCAAAAAGACGTCAAGCTAGATGAACTATTTGCGGATGTAGACTCGGACGATGAATTCCCTAGTTCACGGCCGGGCGAAAATAAGTTCTCGAGCTCCCCCGAGGCTCCAGCATCGCCCATGTGAGATAGTCGAATCACCCTGACTGGAGGAGCACGTGTTTTAACAGATAATGCAGTAATGGGGCCGTGTCTATGAAAGCTTCTGACCCTGAGATCATGCGCATGTTCTACCAACGATTCTTCCCTTGGCGTTATCTGTTCCAGTGGCTTAATCATAGCCCGACTCCTACCAACGACTTTGGTCATCGCGAATTTGCTTTCACTTTACAGGGTGATATATATTCGCGATATAACTCCTTTCCTAGTGCCGACTTGTGAGTAGCTTTCAATTTCGATTTATCCCCATCTTCCACACTGCAGCTCATCATGTCTACTGTAGACTTCGAAAAGACGTACTACGTCTGTTACCGTCCCGTTTCGAAATCGGACCCGTATACACCACAAACCCTCGTGACCGCAAGACGTTGCGGAATTTAAACTCGTTTAAGCCGCTGTCTAAAGAGTTGTGCTTCGATATCGATTTAACAGACTACGATGACATCCGAACGTGCTGCGATAAGGCGAACATATGTAATCGCTGTTGGCAATTCATCACTATGGCCATCAAAGTAGTGGATGTGGCCCTACGTGATGACTTTGGGTTCAAACACATCATGTGGGTTTACTCAGGACGAAGAGGTGCGCACGCTTGGGTATGCGATAAAAAGGCGCGGACGATGGACGACCAGAAGCGTAGGGCTATTGCGGGATACCTCGAAGTAATCCGTGGTGGTGCGCAGAGTGGGAAGAAGGTTAATGTATGGCGGCCACTACACCCGCATCTAAGGTATGTCTACTTCTATCCTTCTTCGAAACTATAATGAGAGCATCTACTAACACTTTCCCTGCAGTCGGAGTTTAAATATTCTGGCGCCTCATTTCCAAGAAGACGTCCTAGAGGCACAAGACCCATGGGCATCGCCGGAACGGGCAGAACATCTCCTTTCCCTGCTCCCTGATAAAGCATTAAATGATAGCTTACGAAAGAAATGGGACTCTTCGCCTGGACGTGCGAGCACTTCGAAATGGGCCGATATCGACTCGCTCGCCCGTTCAGGGAGCGGTAGTAAGAACCTTGATACGAAAGCGCTGCTGGATGCCAAGCAAGACATAGTTCTCGAGTACACCTACCCGCGCCTCGATATCGAGGTCAGCAAGAAACTAAACCATTTACTTAAATCACCGTTCGTTGTACACCCCGGCACGGGACGAGTGTGTGTACCGATCGACACGCGGAAGCTGGAGGACTTCGACCCGCTCGGAGTGCCGACGGTACAGGGATTACTAGAGGAGATCGACACGTGGAAGGCTGATGCCGGGGAGGATGGCTCTGATGACAAGGTGAAGAACCTTCAAGACTGGGAGAAGACGAGCTTGCGGCCTTATGTCGAGTATTTCCGGAGCTTCGTGCTGGCGCTCATGAAAGATGAGCGGGATCCGAAGATTAAGCGCGAGAGGGAGGAGAGCGAAGCGATGGAATTCTAATAGGTACCTAGGTAGGTACCTGTTATAGGAGACATTGTGAACTTTGGTGTTCTCAGCTATTTCGGCTGTTATGGTTTGTTGGTATACACTCGGTACTATGACATAGGCATGGAGTTTAGGCATTCTACATTATTTGAGGCTGGGGCACGAATCATACTGTCAAATGCTTGTCTTTTCGAAGCCTTTGCTGCAGCTTGCGTTTACGATACTTCCTGGCTGAGGAGCTTCTGCTTTACCATAGCTACGAGGTCCTCATCGCTCTCCCCGTCCTTGCCGCGCCGGAAACAGGCGCTCGCGACACTAATGGTCTTATCCCTGTTTTTCATCCCATGAGTGATCTGCAAGTCCGATTTTGGGACGCCTAGGATCTGGAGATGTGCTGTTAGATGAAGTCTTACCTATGAAGTACAACACGTTCTATATCGATGTATGAAGGAGACTATACTACAGTCTGAAGAACATAGCAGCCCAAGAAGGCTCATAAGCTACCTACCTGCACTGCATATCTACAGGAAAGGGATATGATACAACATACATATAAGTAATCTCGATATTACTTACCTCGCTTAATATCTCAATAACGGCCTTGTTTGCCTTGCCGTCCTGCGGCGGAGCGGCTACGCATAGCTCGATGGACTCATCTGTGACGGTGGCAACTCCCTCCCGCACCTTGCTTGCGCCGGGTCGTATGTGACATCGCAGCTGCAGTATCTCGGGCGAGGAAGACTTGGACTTCTGGATTAGGGTTATGGCGTTGCGGGCGGCCATGTTCTCAACTTCTCATTGTGCTGTGGTTTTGAATGCAGTCCTATTGCTTATTGTTTGGATAGAAAGGATCCACGTCGAATAATGTTGTATTACTGGTTTGATGTAAGACGTGAGATGTGAGACTGGAATTCCATTGCTATCACATGTGTAACTAAGTATATTTAAGAAGCTTGGGCCATTCGATTTATTGATAAACACGGCTTGACAGCTGCAAGGGTGCCTTTAAAGTCTAAGATAAGAATGCGATAAGATACAATGCTTGTACATCGGTACTTGATACATATGTACCTAGTCCTTGACATAATTGCGACAGGTCAAATATCATTTCAAGACTTGGAACCGGCAACAACTTCGGTTGATTGCGTTCAAGTAGGTAATCGAAGCATCCCGGTTCGATATTTCCTTTTCGATTTCTTTTTCGAGTACATCTATCTTTTATTGCAGAACTCGACATGCGATCGTCACTTTAATTAATCGTGTATGCCGCGCAATCTCCGACTACCCACGCGCCTACGCCTACGCTCCAACATGGCGCTCGAGCAAGCTGGCCGCGCTGGTCACGGCTATACCCTCACGTCTCTTAGTCGTTGGTCTATTCAAAATAAGAAGCTGCCTCGTACGTCTCCAAGATAAACCTCATATATATATATATATATATACGGTGTTTATAGTGTTTCCTGCTAACAGTAAACTTTAGCCGTTAATGAAATTACTACTGTCCATGTTTACGACTTTGATAATACCCGTTCGCCTTCCCATATATTCACCTCCCTATCCCTTCCACAACTAACCATAAACGACTCCAGTATTCCAAACCCCTCTACCCAACCCCAAGATATGGAACGGCTCGACTCTAGGCCTATTAGGCACCCCTGATGTTTTTGTCAACGGCGGCTGGTGGCACGACTCGAGGATATTAGCTGCGACTGGCGAAGGCGTAGAGCATGAAGAGAAGCGAGCTTGGAATGGTTGGTGGAACGAGAAGATTGTGGAGCTGGTTCGTCTGAGCATGAAGCAGAGCGATGCCCTCTGTGTCCTATTGACGGGACGTTCTGAGCATGGGTTCTCCCAACTCATAAAGCGAATCGTTGCGAGCAAAGGCCTGGAATTCGACTTAATTGGTCTGAAGCCCTCTGTTGGTCCCAACAACGAGCGATTTTCGAGTACCATGAATTTTAAACAGGTCTTCCTTAGGGCGGTAATGGGAACTTACAAAGCGGCGATGGAGATACGCATTTACGAAGACCGCCCAAAACACGTTGCCGGCTTTCGCGACTTCCTGGCCGACTACAATGCACAGCGAATCAGTCTTGGACAACCTTCAATTATCGCCGAGGTCATCCCAGTTACTGAGCTGTCTACTACTCTCGACCCTGTTGTCGAGGTAGCCGAAGTCCAACATCTTATCAATGTTCACAACGAACTGGTCAAAACCCGAGCGGGAAGTGCGCGCAGCGGGCGTCTAGCCATCAAGAAGACCGTGTTTTTCACGAGTTACATGATTGCGCCAGCCGACACGAAACGGCTTATCAAGCTTCTAAATTCGCAGGTGCCGGAGATTACAGATTTGAAGTATCTTGCTAACACCATCCTTATCACTCCGCGTCCCTGCCCGAAGCCCATCCTCGACAAGATTGGCGGCATGAACTCCAAGATGAAGTGGGAAGTTGTTGATATTGGTTCCATTCAGGGTAACATCTGGGCGGCGCGCGTGAGGCCTGTGCCTGCCAATGCTACTTACCACACGGACAACCCGTCGCCCTCTGTCGTCCTAGGCTTGAGAAGAGGGGCCCGCCCGCCGGACGTTAATAAGATCCGGAACTGGCAGCCAATACCGCCCGAGAAATCCTTCGTCTTCGAGACAACGGTGGGCGAGAAATACATGCTTCGCATCGAGCGAGAAGACCAAGACGGAGACCACCAGTATGACAGCCAGCAGGAGAGATTCTCACACAGGGGCTCGAAGCGCAAGTTCCCAGGCGATGAGGATCGCCATCCGCGTCAACACGGTAGCAATTTCGGCAATAACGCCCGTGATTATCATACTTCAGCCCATCAAGGACGAGGCGGAGGAGGCGACAACCGTGGTCGAGGTGGCTACAGGGGTGGCGGTGCCTCCAGAGGTAACCGCGGCGGTGGTCGAGGAGGGTTCAAGGGTTCAGGAAGAGGCGGTAGAGGTGGAGCACATGGTTATCGCTCGTTAGACGACGTGGAGACACGTGAGAACCCTCAGAGTGGCTTCAACTCGTCGACAGTCTCGTACGACGACACTTTCCCCTCGTTACAAGGCGGCCCGCCTCAACTTCAGCCTCCTCTGCCGATTGCTCCGCAGTACGGCCAGCCATTCCCGCAGCAAGGGCAATGGTCGGCTCCAGGAGGACCCCCGACGCAGTCACGGCCTGTGGGCGGCCCCGGACCGGATTTGCAAAGTTTCTACTGAGTATATCTCAAAGCCTCGTTACAATGTGCTTGCTTCATAGGTATGTTTTCGAAGAATTGCTTAGAGAGATTCGTCCGAGTTGAGCCGTATAGAATAGTTATTATAGTTATAACTACTGATTTCTGGAAGTTTGACAAGTCGCGGGACCAAGTGGTTCCATAAGGTTTGTATGGGCATGCAGTTATTTGCAGCAGTGCATCATGGAATAAGCCTTTTTTTCTTTTTACGGAGTAGCTTGTATATATAGAATTGCATACCCTCTTGGAATTATTTTACGAGGACAGTGGACTAGCTAGGATTTAGGCGTTTATTGTTTTGGCAGGGATTCCCTAAAGTCGGAATGTGAACAAACCAACTGGCATTAATAAAAATTACTATTTTTGGGTATCGATATACAAGCACGAGAGATATGAGGAGTGATCTAGAAATGTACGTGTTAGTCTCGGTTCCACATAACAGCTTCGAGTAACAGGAATTTTGCGTGCCAGACAATAATCAGGAAAGATAGAACAATGGTGTGTTGGATGAATCATATTCGTGAAACACGAGTCATAAACAGCCTCTTAAAGAGAAATTCATCATAGAAAGGCGGGATGGTAAGAGAAAATGAGAGGATGGTTGACTTACCACAGGGTCAAGGTCTGTGTCTTCGGCGAAAGCTAGTTCACCAATGTACCATTTGTATGGAAGTGGAAGTTGGTTAGAACACATGAGGATATGCGATTCTATATGTACAGGTATCCCTCCTGTTTGTGGTCTTTTATACTTACCGTAGAGCCCGTATAATTGTTGTCGCTTTAATAATAGGCGCGACTTGTCAGCAGTGTTTTCATAGGAGCTCCTCAGTAGGCAGTATTCGCTCCCAGGCGTCTGGCCTGAAGATATGATTGCAGAATGTATCTGCTTATTACGCGTTTGCTGAAACGGGGTTGATGTCAACGCCGTACTTCTCCTTTAGACGCTGTCGCCTGCGCTCCTCGTAGCCCGGCGGTTTGATGCCTGTAAGGTTGAATTTTGTTAGTGTGCTTCTTCAGTAATAGCCATACTATGATAAAATAGCAAGGTATGGCGTGGTATAGTGTAAGTACCTCTCCCTTCTCCAATGTCAGAGATGGTCTCCTCAATGGGCCGCCGTCGGTTCTTCCGCAAGTACTCCTTGCGGTCGTACTCGTCCATACTGGAGACCTCGGTGCGGGACCCGCCGCGTAGGCTGCCGCCTGTATATTCGAAGGCGGACATGATGACAGAGAAGGCAGCACCATAGCCGAGGATAGGAGGGATGCGGCCGGCTGATTATTTCAGCGAAAATTAGCATGGCGAGGACGACAACTGCAAAACAGGATTGGGGATGGTGGAAAACGTACATCTGAGACCGATCGTGGCACCACCGAGGAAAGAGGCGATTGTCACGTTCAGTGTGTCATCCTTCTCTCTTAAGTTGGCAGCGGCATCTTTGGAGAATGTATACACGGTACCGAGGGCAGCTGTGGTGGGTTGCAAGTCAGCTTCCCAGTCGCAACAACAGCTCTCTATCGTCTACAGCTTCCAATTGGACCAGAAAAAGACGTACTGAACATAGCAATAGTGCCACCAGTCCTGCTAAAAACGCCCCAGACGCCGACATTGCGCTTCGCGAGGGAATTCTGCACGGCCGAGGCAACAAAGCCAGCACCTCCGCCGATCAGAGCGCCTTTTATGCCCGACTTGATGGCATCGCGCTGGTGGAAGTGGTGCTCCTTCGGATCGGCCTGGACGGAATATGGATTCGCCATCTTGACTCAAGCCCGAAGGAGGCTGGTTTCGGGATGGGACTCGAGGATTGTAGAGAAGAGTTGATGTAGGTAATTATGTGAGGGAGAAGAACCTCAGGTTATGTTATGTAGGTCAGGTCGTTTGACTAGCGGCTCCAAGCTTTTGAGCTTGATCGGATTGTAATCTTCCAAATTGTTCCGGGCCCTTTTTTTTGTTTCGTTCAAGTGGGTCGCACGTGATTATATACTTCTACCAAATCGACTTGTAAAAGCCGAATAGCCGACGCTGTATTGTAACCGCCCAAAACCGCCCAAAACCGCCCAAAACCGCACCAAGAAGTAAACGAGCCAAGCTCCCGAGACGAGACTCCCTAGCCACCTCCTACAACAGCCATCGAAAGTCATCAACCTCACCATCGCTCCCACGATCGACCACCGTCACGGCCCTTAATCTCAACAAGTTCAACTTGGACGCAACGGACTCGAAGCTGAAATTAAGGGCGCCGGCCGTAATAGCCTCCCAGATGTCTATTAGTGCTTCGGGAGGAGCCGCAACATCCACGTCTTCCGTATTCTATACTGAAGAGTGGGCAATGCTGGCTGCGCCGCCAACTAAAACTAGTTGACGGCGCCGTTCGGGCCGGACGAGGCGGGTGGCCGCGCGAAAGCACTGGACGAGTGCCTCGCGCAGTGGTGCGGCGATGGTGATGTTGGACTTCGGCATGTTTCGGAGGTAACAGACGAGAGAGGCATCGCAGAGTTCCTACATACATTCAGATAATTGGCCAGTAAGCACACTTCTGCATTGTACAACTAAAGACATATTGGCAACTCAACTCACTGGAGACAAATATAAAGCCGAGTTGGGGAGGTCTAGGGTAGATGGGTCGTTGGGATAACCAAACCAGAGTATAAATACATCTATGAATGATGATGCATACAGAAAGATAATCAGCATCGACGAGGAATACAGGACTACAGCTAGCATATAAATACATGTATCAAACAAGCTGTTTAGAGAAGCTTGGGTTGCTACTACTTTGCTATACATTTTACGGCTTTCCTTCGCTAACGTGTAGAGCAAGGTCTAAGCGACGTGTTCGCCAGCATATCCTTCCTTTAAACCAGGTATAGTTGGAAATTAGAGGGAGCGCAAGACTGAAAGGTTGACTACATGTAGGTATTCAACACATATATGTACCTAACCTAATATTATCTACGTTTGAATATTATAAGAGTTTTAGTCACAAAGCTTCACAATATTACGCACTACAACAGCCCAAATATAACGGCCTAAATATTCTATAATTGAGTATCCTTTATTTCGATTCCCAATCTAAGCCTAACTCCTATAATATCCTGCCTATAGTAAGCGTTCGGTATGGATAATTTGTAAATGCATAATTGAAGTTATTGCGTAATACTGTCTTTTATTTTAGAACACATATGTTCAAAATCGGAATATTTTCAGGATACTTATATACCGACGTATTTTGTATAAATTACGATTCGAGCACCGGGATTCAAGTGGCTGAGTGGTTGGTGATGATGACGATAAGGTTAACGTCTATTGTTGCTATAAGCTAGGTAGCTACAGCGAGCGTATCTATAGCGCCTTAAGACGTCTAGAGTACTTCCTTCAAGGGAGACAGAGCTAGAGTTTCGCCTGTCATAAGAGATCATCCACTTCCTGCCTCTGCATTCCATCCCCTCCTGCCTATAGCATTGCTCTACCTAGCGCCGGTGCCAGGTAGCCGACTTTGATCAGGAAAAAAACCGTCGAGCACGCCTTCTTATGACGACTCGGGAATCACCTTCATTAATGCCCGGCAGTGCCCAAGGAAAAACCTGAGTCGGAGAGTGTCATGAGCAGCCCTTGGTATGTGACCACTACGGAGTGACAGGTGACTAGCTGGTGAATAGCTTATAGAACATATATAATTTTCAGTGTTATTAACGCCTGCTTTCTCCTAAATCTATGAGGGAACCAAGGTTCCCTTATATATAACATAACGAATGACTAGCTGGTAGATAGCTTCAACCTAAATTTTAGAACCCTTATCACGTCATACGCCTATCGTAATCCTTGTCATCTGACAGAGAGATCCTCCACTTCCTGCCTATAGCATCCCACAGCCCCTACCTGCCCATAGCATTACTATATCCGATTAGCGCCGGCACTAGGTAGCCGGCTTGAATCAGGGAGGAAACTGTTAAATACGCCTTCTCATAACCGAGTTGGAATTACTTTCAGTGCCTGGTAGTGCTTGAGGGGAAAACTTGTGTTGTGCCCTTTTTGGTTGACTATGCTGGATTCGAGTCCAATTGTGTTAAGTATGTTTAACCACCACTCCATGTGTGTGGCTGAGTGGTTAGAAGGTAGTTTATGTAACCGGAAAGTGGATATTTCGGTCCTGGCGAATAATTCGGAATTATTTGTGTTTTTGGGTGTTGTATAGGGGTGTTGTATAATTTGTGTGTAAAAGTCCTTACTTTTGCCGAAATAAGAACACGCTGTTGCTTCGACGGTGTAGTTCATTTTCAACGAAGTGTTTGTTGGGGTCTGAGTTTATAAGTGTAGGTTGTTGTGAAAACTAATCGAAAGCCCAAATGGTTTGATGGTCGGTGTTATGTGGGATATGGGGGATCGTGAGTGTTTGCTGAAGGGCGTTGCTGAGGATGGTGTTAAAGTCCCAAATAATAATGTATAGTTGTCGAGATCGAAGGACTATACGAAGTGATTGTAGACGTTGTGGCCGTGTTGCTGACGAGGGGGTAGATAGATGTCGTCTAACTGGTGTCTTACGACACCATTCCGTTGTCTCCCTGATGGGTTAGGGCCCTTCAGCGTCTGTTACATAGGATCGGTGTTCTTTGGTTTCTGCTAGATTGATTCGTTGTCCTCGTTGTCCAGTAGGATGTGTCTAGGATGTTTACCACTTCGCCGAGATTCCAAAATAAAACACGTGCAATAGACACGCTCTTATAACTTCTGTATACCCAATCTTTATAAGAATGACTCCGGCATTTCAAGGTCGACTAACCAGGGTACATGCATAGGGTATTCTTCCGTGGCTCCTTGAATTGCTGCATTCACGAAGAGCGTCTGTGAGCCGGCCCTGAGCGGATTCTCGTCACCAGTGCAGTGGCTAGTTTTAATACATCCTTCGTGGCTAAGAACCGCCCTTTTCTTCGATTTTTCCTCCCCTATTTCGGGAGTGTCGAATTTAGAGCTATTTAGATTTGATAGCTTCCCGATTACTGCCGATTGTTCATTGTCGATGTCGGTGAAATGTGATGGTACTTCGCTGATGTTTTCTCTCCAGGTGGCCAGCTTTGCTCCCCATCCTTCGTGAATATGACCAAAGCAGTGTAGTTTTGGGCGGGCTCGAGCGATAGAACCGAAAAGTTGGGGACACCCTGTCCTGCGTCGTGAGTCGGTAAGATCCATTATCCCGTGGGGTGGGCCGTGGGTTATTGCTATATCAACCCCTTTCTCGATAGCAAAGTTATGTCCTTCTTGAGGACTATATTGGAAACCCCAGTCACTTAGTGACGGTGTATAGGGGCTGGCGTAGACTGTTAACTTTGCCCCATTTCCCAACTCGAAGCGGTGTGTGCCCTCTTCCAAGAAAACCACCCCGTCGCTTTTTGCGTCCTCGAAAAGCTGACGTATTTCGCCAAAGCCCCCATAAAACCTTTCTACTTCCTCTGGCTGTAAGTCTGGGTTTGAGGCGACTTTGTTCTTAAATAGTGGTATGTCAGCAGTAAAGTCGTGATTTCCTGCAATAACTAACTTGAGCGGCGCATCGATGCTCCGAAGAAGTTGAAGAGTTGTTTTGAATTCATCGATTTTTGATTCTTCGGTAAGGTCGCCGCAGTGGATAGCTACATCGGCGCCAATGTGTTGTATGTTGGATACATTCTCTCCGTGTGTGTCGGAGAGTATTAGGAAGCGAGTTTTGATAGCCATGATAACGGTATAATAGTAACTATTTACCGTATTTTAGAATTGAATAGGTAAAAGTTTAGTGATGAATTGTGGTAGCAAATTAATCAGTTGAAGTTGACGTGATGGATAACTAGTCGATATAGTGTCTTAGGCTACAGTTTGTCGCGTTTTTGAGTTGAATAGATAAACGGACACCTAGAAGGTACCTAGATAGTTTTCACTTGCGGTAGAAAAGCGATACTGATGGTTGATATGGTGATAGCTGACTGTTGATGGTTGATAATTTGTGTAGGTGGTGGTTTGCAGAAATTCTTCACACAATAGGGGATATGCCTTTCTTTTTATATATGCAATTTTTGTTGGGAGAGATATACATTTTTTTGAGCTACACGCTACCTTGGCTTTGGTAATTTAACCGTAAATACGAGACTTAACCGTCAATACGAGAACTATGCAAGTCCCTTGACTCTCATCGCTTTTTCCGCATTGCTTCAAACTCAAATATACATGAAATACTAAAATATGTATCTAGGTGCATATTACTCGTTGCCAAAGCTTTGTCTCTACTACATATACCTTTATGAAAGTTAGCTCCGTTATGTTAACTACTTGGTTGTGTTATTATAATGCTTCTATTTAAAGTAGTTACGCTTTAGAATAATATATATTATCTTTTCGGCCGTGCAGTACCGATATATAGTAAAGTTTTTTTTAATAGTCGAATACAATTATCTGTTAGTAGATATCTACCTAACTAAGTACTTCCAAGGTAAACTGTAAAATCCCCAAATGTATGTAGGTTTAAGAAGAACGTATAAGATTCTGGGGAGGTGTTGAGCTGGTTATAACTTATAGGGTCCGCTACATAGGATTGATTGCCTTAGGGGAGATATTATACTTTAAATGTATACACATATATCAAGTATACGCTGGATCTGATCAGGTCTTCTTAGGTATAGTCCCATGTGCTATAGACGCGCATTGGGTGATTGAGAATAAAAGGAGTACGCCCACTAGAGGTACGAAGTAGAGTACATAATGTAAGTTGACAGCTCTGTATTACCGGAGATTTGCCGATTGGTTCAATGCTTTATGCGGCACAAGGCGCACAAGGGTGAAACAAAGACGTCAGGTACTTCGTAGACCCGCCTGATTGATTGTTTTCCATGGTGGCGCCGTGGCGGAAGATTCTGGTACCCGAGATAAGCGATAAGCCCCAGCAAAACCCCAAGGCAAGTGGCACGGTCTTTTGGTATGTACCTTGGAGCTGCTTTGGTAATCCTCAGAAAGCTTACTGCCCAGGTGATGATCCTAACCTAAGAACTAGCGCATAACTCAGTTGCCTCCAAACTCGAGGACTACGCATCTTCCCTTATGGAGCTTCCTCAGCCTTTATCTGAATACATGTAGGGAATCACTTAAGCTACAACCTCTCTCTATCTTACGCGCGCCTTCTCTGTTGAGGATTGCCTGGAGCATCGTTTACGTGCGTTTTGCGCTTTGCGTCGCATTTATTTCTTTGCTTTTCTTTTTTTTATCGCCCCCGATTCTTTTTTTAGGTCCCTGTCTTGATTTGACCTGAGATCATTGATCGTTGATCGAGTGCACTGGGATGCAACTGTGAGTTTATGCCTTTATTCTTTTCGTCTCATCCTAATTCTAACGCCATCTGTGTGACCAGTTGAACCATACTTGTTTAGTTATGAGAACATCGCATCCTTCTATCCAAGGTACGGATATTCTTAGTTCTTTTATTTTGTGTTCTTCACTTTTGTGAGCAGGAATAGACCCCCTAGAGGATTGTCTGCCTCAATTCTTAGTCACAGCTCCGTTCAATATTTTCGGCTGAAGGCTGGAGACTGGAGACTGTAGGTCTACTTTTAACTAGGATGACTTTATCTCCAGGTTATGCTCTTACAGCTGCCTACTGAGTTTGACTTCGGCATGTGCTTATGATGGCCGTCCGGGGGCGTTAAATAGTTGGCACCTATCCCGGGATCTCGGTACTAGATGTTGGACTGTCATCGACGAACTCTATGGATTAGAACTGGGTTTGATCCATCTGTTGGGAGGAAAAGGAGAAATAGTCGAACTTGACCCCTTTCTGTCATGAAAGCGGCCCTATACCCCAGACCCCAGACCCCAGATAAGGGCTAAAGGAACTATATATGGAGCTTGAGCGTACAAGTGTACTCGAGGCAAGGAGGAAGAACTTGGTCCTGGACTCGCTTTTACTTTAATCTTTTACTATAACTATATGTCAGCTATATGTCTTCCGCTAACGCACATATTCTAGGGACTGCGACCAGCCCTACTCACGTCCGATATATAAACCAACAGGCTAGGGTGACGTCGTCCTAAGCTAGAGATAAACTTTGCGTTGCAAGTAGAGTACTCATGTTGACTCTATTCTATATCTTACGAGGTTGGTCTACGATTTTGATATTTCTGCGTCTCCTCATGCCTACCTATACTTTAGTTACTGTTTGCTACCTAAATTCCCGACCTTCTCTACCCTTTTACAGCAATTACCCTCAGGTTGAATCAAGCTGTTCACTCTAATCAACTCCCGCCTCTTAGATTACATGCCTTCGAGGGATTAGTTGATATCATGGCCTCTATCGGCGAGCTAGATGATGCGGCAGAGCTCCGCCAACTCCAGTCGGTAGCGATACGTAGTCTACAACACCTACCAAATCCTCAACGTGAGTTTTTATACGTGCCTGCAAAGCTGTTCTGATTTGATGAAGCCATGCTGATAAATCTAAGCTCTCACATCTCCTCGCTTGTTTCGTCAGTTCCTTGGTTCCCAGTTACCGGATCTTGACTTTAACTTTCATTGCACAAGTCACGAAATGCAGTTGGTCGCAACCCAGTCATTCCAAGACTCAAATATCTGCTTTGTTTCTACTGTTTGTTGTCGATGCCGCTACCATTTCCATGTTCAGAGCAATTTCAACCCTGTTCAGCCGTATAATGACGAGCATCGCCATCATATGCTCGTTCCTTGTTGTCGAAAATCTGCGGAGGACCTTAGGGAAAACCGGGCAATTTATGATGACACCGTTGGTTATGCTCGGTACATCTGCGTAGCTGATCAATGCCTATTCAACGTGGAGATATCCGTACTACCTCATAGGATTCCGCCGGAAGACGTGGATAAGTTCTATGACAATGACCGAACTACACGCAATCTGATCTTCGCAAAGGAGAGCGATCCAGAGCGATACTCGGACTTCAACGAAGTACCAACCATGAAATCAGAGACTATACTCCGCAGATACCTTACAGACTCACTCCAGTCTATTAGTGATCAGCCATTAAGGATTAACAAGCGCAACAAGAAGTTCTCCGTGTGTATGGGTAGTGATTTCGATGACCTCCTGAAATATTTAGGGTTTTGCGAAGGAGCAGACGCAGAGACCGGCGAGCCATGTTGGCTCATTACCCCCCCTAACAAGGAACAGAACCCGACCCCAGTCCGAACGCTACGAGCTCGGATGGAGGATGCGCAGGTAGAGCTTGACATCCTTATCAGCGATGCAACAGTCCCTGCTTGGGATAAACTACTGCAGGTATTTCAAGGAGACTTTCCTAACGGGCCTGTCGACGCGAATATCTCTACAGTCACAGAACCAGACTTGGCCCTACTAGGCTGTTTAGCAATGTACCCGCCTCTATATTTCAGCTGGGCTGCTATTCTTCTAGCTGGACTGCGCCCCAGGTACCGCGACGAATATCTAGATGCCGCCCTGCGCTGCATTCAGAATCGTAGTGATGATGCATCGACTGAGATAATCATGTACAGGTCACGGTTCGACGAGACATCCCCTATTGACATGAGAGTGCAGGAAGCTTTTGCGTTCTTCCATGCCTCTCCCCATGATGACACGACGTCGGATTGGTTTTTGACGAAGTACTACGAGATGGCTAAATATGATAGGACTGATGAGTTCAAGGCCCAAGCCCAACAACATCTCGAGGCCATTGGTAGCTACCTGGGAAGGGATCTTGTGAGGGAAATTGACCCCAAAGCTTCAAGGACAACAGGGGAGCCAGGACTCATGACATCGCTTCCTAACGTTTTGGGGAGAAGAATGAGCATTTCCTCGGCAACAAAACTCCTGGGTGTGGAGTCGGACTGGACGGCGGAGATTATTCGGGGCTTTGTCCAACAGCGGGTGCAGGTAAGTATCTATCTTTGATGCTTCTACTTGGTGTCTTTCTAATATCACACTAGGACGAAAACGCAGACAAAACTAAGATCGTTGAAGCTGTCGATGTCCTATCTGAACTTAAGCGACAGCAAGATAAACCTGAAGAAGCCGCAGAGCTGCAGCAGATTGCCGAATTTGTCAAGATGACTGGGTATGCACCGATGCTAACATCCCAACCTCACGCGTCACCAATACCAGGAAACTCCATTAATACACCTCCTGGTCTAAAAAACATCGGCAACACGTGCTACTTAAATAGTCTTTTACAATATTTCTATAACGTCAAGATCATACGCGACATAGTTCTGAATTTCGACTCGGTAAAGCTTGACCTTGACGAGGAGACGGTTGGACAACGTCGGACGGGAGGAAACGGCACTAGCGTTAATATCGAAGAAGCCATCGTTGCCAGGCAGTGTGAGCGACCTATCATTTGCTATATTTGTTAGGAGGTGCTGACCTATAGACAGTTGTCGAGATGCTTCAGGGGTTATTTACCGATTTACAAACAACTACTGAAGCCGCCGCGCAGCCTTCGCAGAAACTTGCGAACACTGCACTATCGTCAGCCAGAGACATTCTGGATCGGCGATCCCAGAATATCCCCCCGCCGCTGCCAGCACGCCCGTCGCCAGCACCCCCAGTGTTCTCCAAGGATAATCCCGATACAGCGAATGGAGTGACAAACGACACGGTGAGCATCACAGTAGAGTCGGTGAATGATAAACTTGAAATGGCTAGTTCACGGAGTTCTCAAACGCTGGTTGATGACGGGGGAGACGTACCGATGTCGTACGTTCAGTTGGAAACCCCGGATGACAATGCTCCCGTTATTCTGCAGTCTCAAGACGATGTCAAGATGCAAGATTCAATTGAATCCTGGACCCTCGATGATAAAATGGCAGAAGTTTCGCGTCAGCTAGAACGCTCGGATAGATCAGGGACGGAGCAGCAGGATGTCGGAGAAATTATCGGCAATATACTTGAACATTTCATGCGGGCAATTCGTCCGGACGGCCCCATGCCGGAAAAGCCGGAGTTGCAAGCAGACAAGATTACGGAGACGTTCTTCACTACAATAGTTAATTATACTGTCAAGACTAGGAAGGGAAACTCGGCTAGCGATCTAGTCTCTTACCTAGAAGAGAATCCGTTGAACGTCGAGATTGTTCCGGAGCGGTGGATCACAGCGTATCCAGAGGAAGCCATCCAAGCGCCGGAGGGGACGGCTGGTAACACGGGCGGAGCAAACAATGTGCGATGTACATTGTTTGCCGCCTTGGATCGGTACTTCGCTTATGAGCCAATCGACAGCGGGGATCGCGCACGTTATAGTAGCATTAGATCCCTCCCTCCCATTCTGCATATCTGCATCCAAAGAAGCACACCGAAGGGCAAGAACAAGAACCCTGTTATCATACCGGAGACTTTATGCCTCGATCGTTATATGGAGGCCGAGAAGGAATCGCCGGTGTGGCTTGCCCGGAAAAGGTCGTGGGCGTTTAAGGAGCGCATAAAGGAACTTGAGGCCAAACCCTCGCAGGATGTTCGAGACGTCCCTGCACAGTCTCAGCAGTATAATGTTCGTGATATTCCCAACATCTGGTTTAAAGCGTGATGAGAGTGCTAACATGGACTAAGGAATTTAAGGTAGCGGATTTTGAAGATATAGCGGCTATGGTAACGTCGGCCCTCGACAATGCCGAGGATGCGCATGTGCAACAAGCATTCTCTGATGACTTGAGACTGAAACGCAAGCTACCTGAGCCATTGGAATATGGTCTATCCAAGAAGATAGCTGCCCCGGTGTCATTTACTGACCATTCGTTCTGCGATAGGTTCGCTGATATGTCCTGGGAGGCCACTGAGCCTTTTGATGAGATGACTAGAAAAGAACTTCTCGACCTGCGCCAGAAAGAGGAGACAATTTTCGACGCCATGCAGAAGGAGAAATACAGTATCCACGCTGTAATCTGTCACCGCGGTGGTACGTCCGCGGGGCATTATTGGGTCTGGATTCGAGACTTCAAACGCAATGTCTGGTATCGATACAACGACGAGACGGTGACGGAAGATAACCGCGGTACAGAGGCTGTGCTAAGCGACCTAAACGAGACGGGTGATCCGTATTACGTTGCGTACGTTCGAGATGAGATAAAAGATGACCTAGTTGATGTGCCGCAGCGTCATAAACTTGAGGCTAATAATTCCCGGAGCGCGAGTCAGGATTTTGAGATGATTGAGGGTGTAGCGTTCGACTCGGCCGAAGCGTCTCCTATCAACGGTGGGCAAGCTTCGCATTAGTACTGATGGGTACCTACCATACGATCCTGATATACCCCGATTTCTTGCGTCGTGGATTATGAGACATGGTTGCATTGGCGGGGAGTTCATTGCGAATTTGTTGGGTTACAATACCTCGAGGTAGACTAGGACCTAGGTAGGCCGGCAAGGCATATATCTGTTAGACGAGCTCACAATTAAGTCTGATTGGCTTGGTAGTATTTGCACGCAAGATAATAAAGTGCCGCTGACATTAGTACCTGTGTAGGTAAATCTATACGCGTTTCTATAAGTCATTATGATGCTTCACGACCCGAACAAAGAGTTATTTCACAATTGCGACGCAGTAACCCCTCCATTAAGTATGGGGAAAAGTGACAGGAAACAGATCAAGACAGTACCTTGCGCTCACCCTTGGATACTGCCACCGCTGCCGTTATTACTATTATTATCAGCAGGGCCAGTAGGCAAATGGCTCAGATCTGGTAGCACAGCAGCTCGAGACTTATCCAGTAAATCCGGCAAAGCGGCAGCATCGTCCTTGCAGTAGATCTTGTCGTGCCGGGGGTCGATCCATAGGAACTTAACGGTGGACCCTAACATCCTAAGCCCGGCCTCAGACCACACGGGCGCAAAGGTGTCGAGAACAACCTGCCGCGCCTCCCGGTTTAGGTGGCATAACAACCGCGCCGCGGGCTGCCGGTGCTCGAGGTACTCCCGCCAGTGCGTCTCCCAGTGCTCTGGGAATACCCCCGTGACTAGCCACGGGTATTGCGGGAGCTTCTCGACCCACCATACGCAGGATAATGGACATGCCATAGGGGCACATGTCAGGACTAGCTGCCAGATGTAGCGCCGCAGCGCCGGCGGCAGCCGGTCTAGAGGCGATGCGGTCTGCGGGCGGAGTGCTTCCTGAGGACTGTTACTCCGGGGCACCAGGGCCGAGTCCTCCGACGCGAACCCTTCCGAGGAGGGGCCGGCGTCGTCAGTTGCGGAGTTGTCTTTTCCTGCTGTGATTGGTTAGTTACCTAACTACACAACCTAACTACATAACCTAAGATATCTAAGGGGAGGGGTTGGGTTGACTAGAAAAGGGGGGAGGGGTGGACGAGGGTACCTTTTTTGGGACGGCCGGAACGCGGTGGGATTGCGGAGGACTTGGCGCGGATGGCGGTGCGGATTTGGCTGAGGGAGTAGCCGGTTACTTCCTCGATGCGCTTCTTGCTCATGGAGGCGTCGTAGTAGAGGGTCCGGACGCGGAAGCGCTCGCGCTCGGTGAGGTGTTTGGTGTGGATCTCTTTTGGCCGGTTTCCTGGCGGCATATTTTTGTTTTTTTCTGTGTTTCTTCTTTTTTTTCTCTTCTTTATCCGGGTTCTTGTTTATTTTTATTTTTTTTCTTTATGTCTTATTTGGTCTTTGATGCTATAAAATAGACTGATGAAGATGGCTGATGATGACGACGACGACGGGCGTAAGCTCCGGATGGATTGGGGGAAAGAAAGGTGGAATGAAAGTTTTCCCGCGGTGGGCAGTCGCTGATCGGCGGACTCTGGGCGGAGATGCGAGATAGTAGCGCTCCGATGTCCGTGCGACGTGTCCTATTTGGTTAGCGTGTCTTGGTGATACTCGACAGGGGTGTAAAACTTTCTGCGCGTTATTGCGATATCGACTTAAGCGGCCTCGGATTCAGGGGGGGATATACCTAGGTAGGTACTCACGCCTTAGGTACATGTATGTGTAGATACCTATGTGGTACCTTATATGAACCTCCCTTACCCCTATTCTCTTTTAATCTACCTATTCAGTTATCTGTAAGTATATTTTCTCAATATTAATAAGGATCATAGTTAGTGAATTATCATAATATAATTAGGTGGCTCTAAATTGAGTCTGAGCACTTTAATATTAAAGACAATAGCATGACTAGTATAAAAGTAAAACCTAAGAGCACGTTTAATAGTGCCGCACCAAACGTATCATCACTTAATCTACTTAATTTGGGGACTAACTATGTCATGTAGTAAATACTTTCTTGGTCCAGTGATAGGGAACATAAGGTTAACGAGTATTACACATATGGAAATGGAAGAATGGTTTTTAACTCCCCTGGTAAATGACACGCACTATGAACACTCAATTCAGAGTCAGAAAGAACGCGAAATCTGTAAAGTACCAGAAGAATCTACTACCCAACCAGAGTATAGCTTCACTCCCCAAAGCTCTCAAAGGATTCCCCGCTAGCGCGAAGCTCTTGTCCAGAGTCGAGGTTGTATATAAGACAATGAAAGGCTGGAATACCGTGTGTTCAGGTAAACAATACACAGAATACTAGTCTAAAATAGTCTGGTCGTGAGGGAGGTTTTCTAGTACTCCTCGTACTTTAGTAAGTAAGCTTAGATTGACAAGCGCTATTCTAAAGCGATCGACTATAACGAAAGTAAAGGGGGCATAAGGCCCTTATATGTATCCTTCCGCACAGGCCCACTTATGTACCGGACCGCCAGACCCGCAGCGGCCGAGCCGGGTTGGGACACTACTACCCGGGACTGGTTTGCGTAATTGTTAGTCCATAACATCAAGCTACCTCCTACGTAGGAGGTAGGTAACCTCGAGAAACTAGAGCTGATGCTTGGTATTATGTGCGCGAAAAGCTAACGGAGAGAGCCGCTGCGAAGAGGGACATATTACATGTAGGCAGTCTACTTCCAACAGCTGTTTTCACGAACGTCAGCCTCTTACTAGTAGTTACGGATGTTTAACTTTCCCGGCCGGATGTTGACTTACAGAATCTTGCAGGTACTGGTCCAGTTCTCCTTGTCGCCATAGGGTATCATAGCCCCGCCCTATTTAGTATTAATAGCACTTGGTCAGTATCCTACTGCTTTGCTCAAACAGCTCACGCGTTGTCTAGACGTACAAACTGCGGGCCTGCCTTCCCGGGAACCCAGACCCCCTCGATTTGGCCAATCGCATGGTACAGCTTCTTGCTGCCTTCGTACCCGCCAAGGATGGGGCGGCGGGAGGGCGGCGGGCTACCCATGTTTGCATCCACGAATTCCATCAGCTCGGGCACGAACGGCAGGAGGTCATATTCTCCGTGATGGTATATCTCTTGGCCCCCATAAGGGACCCTGCACGGCGCCGACGGCCCCAGGCTGGGTACCACCTTGCATGGGTGGACGCCGCCCTTGAAATTAAGTGCCGAGGCAAGGTAGACGGGCTTGTGGTCCTTCTCCGCGCAGGGAGCTGCGTGCACAACGTCTTCGTTCGGAATCAAGCTGTTTGTATGAAGGCGGACGCGCGTGCCGTGATTGGCGTCCTCGCGGTATAGATGGTACATAATGGAGTCCAGCTCGCGCAGACCGAGACTGTCGGCGCCGCTCTCTTGCTCACGCCAGAAGATTTGATGCGGGTCGATTTCATCCCAAGACCCGTTTGGTCGTTCGACGAGGAGCTTGCCGTTCCCGTTCGGACTGCTCTTGACCGAGCTCACGGGCTTTGCGGACGCCATGGCGTGATTGTAAAAGTCCTTTCGCAGGTCGGGAGCCACGAGGTCCTCGGGATACCACTCTGCCGGTGAGTTTTCGTTAAACTTGACAAGGTATTCGTAATGCTCGAAGGACTCGGCGGGATCTTCCGAGGTGGCTGGTTGGATGGTCTTGACGTGGCGGCAGTGCACAAGAGCCTGCGGTACGACATCGTCGTAACCCACGGGCTGACTGGCTGAAATGCCATGGAGGTCTTTGATGGGCACAATACTATGGGTCGCAATACCACCGCCGACACTCAGGTACTTGAATCTGCGCACCCTGCCAAACGCCACCGGGTGTTCAGTGATGATCCTTAGCACCGAGGTTGGGAGGTGTCGAATCCAAAGCCGGTTCACCTCGAAGGAGCCCGCGACTACTTTGTTGAAGATGGGCGTGTAGCGGCTGCTCTCTAGTCCGTACTGCCGGGGAGACTTTGTGTCGACCTTGAGCACACCACGATAGCTACTAGTTCTTCTCTGATTCTCGGTAACGGCATCCTGTTCGATAGCATCGAGGTCGCGAGTAAGAACCTATCGCTGGTTAATTATCTGTATAAGACACGACGTTACTCATCAAGAGCCGGGATGCTGCTTGCCTCAAACGACTTCACCCGGATCTGGTGGGTTCTTTCTGTCACGGTGCTGGAACGATTCTTCTCTTTCTCGAACAGGGCCCTATATTTGCTCACCAGCTCGCGGTGATCAATGAGCTTCTGAGCGTAATACCCGTACATACGATCCTCCTCGCCGAAGTTGAGGAAGATCATCTTGCCATGGTCGTCAAAGAAGTCCTTCGCATATGCCTTTAGGAACATGTCTTCCCTCGATGGGTCTATGCCGCCACGGCGACCGCCACGGCGTCCGTGAGCATCAAGATCTTCAGGGGGGATAGTAGGCTCCGCGGGCAAGTGGCCAGTGCGGAGCGACTCCGGATCCGACAACTGGGGAAGTCTTTCGCGAGGGGCAATAGCACCCTTGTAATGAAAGACACGCTGGTTATCACCGGCTCGGAAGTGCGCCAATTCGGAGCCATCGCCGTTCCTGACGAGCGACCTGCCCTCCACTCGAAATATCTAGAGGAGAGTCATCAGAGTAGCGTTCCAAGTAGAGTTGACTGAGAGAAAAGGGGGATTCACAACTGACCCTTGTTGTCTTCCCGGGTTTGACCGTTCCTTTCATCGAGCTTGCCCCGACCATGCCGTCACCAGCGGCCAAAACCACGCCATCGAATATGTCGCTGCCAAGGCCCTCTGTGTTTCCTTTCTGAACATCTCTGACAACATTCGTGGATATGTCAATTATGCCTTGAGGATCATAGTGACCCGTGCGTGAGCTCTCGATCCCTAAACACAAATCTTACTTAGTATGCTCTATCTTCAGCATGCCATTAATCTTGCAAGTGCTTACCAGTTAAGATACCGTCGGCAAGGATGCCGCCAACGACACCGGCCAAGACCGGAGCAGCAGCGCCCCCAGTTGCACCAGTAAGAGCCGCAGCGCCCAAGACAACAAGAGTGCGGGAGGCTGACTCTTCGGAATGTATGGCAGCCTCGGTGTCTCCCATGGCGAGGTGAACGACACCTATTTACTATTAGTATACTGTATGAGATGCCGAGATTCACATTTTCCTATGTAGCAGGACTTACCCTTGATGTGACCGACGACCGGAATTCCATCGGCGAGCTCGCTGAGGGTATGGAGTGGATGGTCAAAAATCTCGTTGAACATATGTTTGGCGCCGTCTACGAAGCCAATGCAGAGGTGTCCCAGGGACGCAAGCTGAGAGCCAAACATTTTGTCGGATAGTTTCAAAAGGGGATACAAGGGCGAACAGACTGATGATGGATATTGAGTTTGAAAGAATCCCGTAACTTTCAGTCAATCGTGCTATAAGTATTAGCCGAAGGAATCTCCTGGTTCTTAGGTTCTTAGTATTAGAGACGATATCAGTCAGGCGTCGTGGTGCCCGACTGCAGTGTGAGGGACGCGGTCAGCTAGCTACGGTCGTCGATCTTTGACGTTTATGGAAATCGTATTATGTCGTCTGTCTGCCTGCCTGCCTGCATGCATGCATACTAATACACATCTATCGATCTATTCATGTATGTATTATATAAAAATGTACGACTAGGGGGTGATGGGTGGTAGATATGGTCGCCGACACTACAGACATTCCGATTTAATAGGGCCTGCAGTTGATGGTGGTCACATCGGGAAACTATCATTAGGCACTACACTTTGAAAAATGAAACCTTCAGCTCTCTCTCCCGCAAATAGCTTGATGTGTTGCGGCCCAGTCTAAATTCCAACCCGCCTCCTGGCGATTCCGTGAGATGACGAATGAGGACATCAACAAGGCTAAGCAGAATCCACTCCGATCGCTTGTTGAACCTCGAGAGGCACCGGAAATTCCCTCTCGGGCGGCACAAGCCCCTTGCCTAGCAGCTCCTCGTCAGTTACCCCAGGGTTTTCCCTCAACTCCTGTTCCAACGCGCGCGCTTTTTCCGTAACATCCTCGATGCCAATGATCCATTCATCCACCCAGGTCGCCGCTACTGAACTAGGGATCCCGATTTGAATGCTGCGGTAGCCTAGTTTTTCCAATCGAGGCGTACGCTCTGGGTCCCATTGCACCTTGACGGCTGATGGCTTTTCTCTTGGGGGTTTGCTGGCTTCCGTGGTATCACTTGGCGCAATCCCTTGGCCGGGTTCTGTTGTCAACGTCGCCGTTCTTAGCAGCGCGATAAAGTGCTCGTGCTTCATTTTCAGCGCCAGGATCCGCTCTTGGTTTTTGTCCTTGTACGAATATCCCGCGCGGTACATCATCCAGCACCAACTGGGTTTAATCCATGTCATGCGGGTAAGTCGGAACTGTGGTGAAGCACATAGCTTTTGCTTATTGACGGCTGTAGAAGCGATTTCGCTGTTGTATGCTTGATAAACCGTAATAGTTTCTTCATCATAATAAGCCCGAATTTGGCGTTGTTTAATAACCATTTCTCTCCGATCTGAGCCTAGAGAAGCCATTATAAGGGTATTTATTATGCCTTTGACTTCCTTCAACGTCCTAGTAAGCATGTATCGGTTGTGTGCCAGTTCCCTAGTTTGATAGATTTTGCACTGGCCTCCCCACTTGTAACTAGGTAGTGTATGTGTTCGATGTGTTCAAATAGAAGACTGAGGAGGTCAAGGAGTGGATGAGAGTTGTCCGAAATATATAAGCCATGCTTACCTACCTGGTAGGTACCTTAGGTACTTAAGCCCCTAGGAACTAGAAAACTTGACGCAGCGCACTTAGCGTCGAACAGAAATAGGCATTTAATACTTTCGTGAGAGTTAATGTTGACGGGAAATCGCATGAGATGACCGATGAGTATATACGAGCTATTATACATAAAGCTTGAAAAAAGATATAAACCCCTTATTAAAGTAATTTTATCCCCTTTAGTATGATTTCCAAATAATTGTACATACACCATAATTAACCACACCTTAGATGCCCACATTCTACACAATAGTACACCCTGGCCGTGAGGGGTTACTGGTAGGACGTATGTCCAAGTTATTTAATTCCTTGGAGACAATTATCGGAAGGGGTTTCTTTCACAGGGGAGACTAGTTCGTCGTGATCGTCACTCATTATACTTAAAATATATTTTTGGTCTGCTTCTTCATCCGACTGCGGTATACTTTGACCGATGGTTCTTTGATTCGTGTTCGAACCATGTATCTCGATTGTTAAACAACTCGTCCTCACAACCCGAGATGATCTCATTTTGCGACATTTCGACTCGGTCGTCAAAGAGGACTTGCTAAGTACCGGTTAATATGTAGTCAGATAGTCGTTCACGGTCGTCGGCTATCTTACTCAGCCCTTCTTAGATGCATTGGTTACTCTACATATTGATAGTATGTGATTGGGTCCATAGGTATATACATCTATGAGGGGTGAGGTCACACACAAAACCCCTCACAATTTCCAGGCCTGATAATGATTGCAATACTCATCTACTCAGCATCGAAAAGAACGTAGTGTTCATAACAACTCAATGTCTGGCTTTGAGATCGTTGGTGTCGTGCTTGGCGCTCTCCCGATCGTTTTTAGCGCTTTCGGGAAGTTCCAAGAAGTCCAGGACAGTTTCGATGTCGGAAGAGAATACAAAGAATGCGAATATAATCTTAGATGTTGCAAACCATTTTTCAGGGCCCGTCTCAGGTTATTATTGTCAGATTTAACTGAGGATCAAGATAGGATAAGAGAGTTGTTATCAGATCCGGGAGGTCACTGTTGGCACGACAAGAACATTGCAGATTTACTCATGCATCGATTTGGTGAGGACTCACATAACCCTTTTATGGATTACATAGGACATACCAGAAATAGCCTAAAGGCTTTCGACGATGAGCTACTGTTGGAAGCGGACGTTATACAAGAATTTTTCCAAAGGCGAGTAAGTCGCTAAAGAGGTCATAGATATTTAATAGGAGGTAGCTAGAGCTAATAATCGTGACCAGAAACCTCAAACGTTGAGGACTCGCCTGCGAGAATTAGCTACGAAAGATAACCTTCGATCCCAAGTATATAAACTAAAATTCAGCAGCAGGAGGAGCATTCGCTCAAAACTGTTCGAGAAGCTGAAGTTGTATGATTCTCAGCTTGAAGGATTATTGGATAGGCATCATTCTCTTAGAGCTATGCTTCGGTAAATTACTCGAAGACCAACCGCACCGCAAGGATGATTGGCCTGTTGGAGAAAATGACACACAGAAAGACTTATTCGATGTCATTGCAGCCCAGAAATGGAACGACGAAGTCAACGAGGAAGCGGGAAACGACTTTGACCAAGCAATCAGATGGTGTCTCGAAGGGCACCATAGCACCCCACCTGAGAAATGGAGGCATGAGATGCTTAGACGGGTTGTCCAACCCCTTGAGAAATGTCACAAGTACCTTTCTCAAGGATGATACCGTTAAGGTTATTCGAGAATTGTTTGTGTACACAGTCTAACGAGCTTGCCGATGTCATTGTACTGAGAATATGATGCATATGATATTGGTCATTTCATCTCAACATTATGACTGCCCGACAGGAGAGTACTCAAGTGTGGTGAAGACCCAAGTTGCTAAACCTACCTCCTAGTGAATCTAACTAGATGGTTATATGTTTACCTTACTAAGAGTAACAACCCTTTGTAAAGGCAGTAAAAGAAAAGGAGAGGAGAGAGGAGAGAAGAGAGAAGAATATAGGGACATATATCGAATGTGCCCAGAGATACTAACCTGGAATAGATACTGAGTTAAGGGATGTAGGTGTAAAAGGATGCCTAATATATCAAAAGTTAACAATGTTTCTATTTCCAAGAACTCCTGATAACTTACACCAGCATCAATTGTTATATTCATTTGGGTTAAGACCCAGATGAGATAAGTTCCATCGCCTAGTTTTCATGCCTAGAGTTCGATGACTTGCAATATATTTATAAGATCTTATATTAAAATCAGCCGTAACGGAGGCTCTCGATAGCCCCGGTATTACAGCAAATGATACTTTAATAGCAATTAGGAAGTTGAAGCGTTGGGAATTGTCCCTCATTGGTAAAATGATTTGGGCTGAAAAGTTAAACTAGCCCGCACTCACCACATAGGGGCCAGTGCTAAGAAACAGAGCTATCAAATCAATAGGTAGTTATATCATAAAATCACATGTTTACCATATATTACCTCCAGGAAGACATCTGATATCAAGTGGACGAGATCCTCAGACTTAAGGAAATCCAATATACGCCAATAACTAAAGCGCTTGAGATGCCACCAAATCCCACCAGTAATATTTCCAAGTCCTATTTGAAATCCTTCCTTGGGATAGGTTCACCAATTGGGGCGCTCAAACCGCCACCTATCAGCCGCCATTCCGCCAACCAACTGACCACCAACCATCCGTGTCAGACCTTCCATTCATACGTTTCATCATCGTAACATACCATCTAACCCCCATGTGCCAGCGAAGACGTGTTTACTGGGCTTGTCTACACGAGGACGTCAATGTCACCCCGCCGTCGCCCCTCCTTTATTGCGCTAATGCCACGCCACGAACGGACGCTGGCAGCGGCGACAGCGACGGAAACAGCATCCGCCATAACGACCTCAAGCCGTGCGCCTCCGTCGATACACTCCCGCTCACTGCAAAGCACGATTTGTTTAACGCGGTTATGCATCCGGATAGTTGCGAGGTCTGTGTCGCCGATAGCACTACTACCGGCCTATCCGGCCGAGAGACTATAACGATTGACGATGAACCGTCGACGGGCGATGACGGAGCTAATAATATAGAAAATTACCACCAGGACGTGATAGGAGACTCTGAAGAAGACATGTTCGATTTAGATTGGATTATAGACGACCATTTGCTTCAAGAATCTCAAAGGACATTTAGGGAAGTGGTGGCCGGGGAAGAACAGCCCCCCGGCTCCATCGACGGAGTCTGGTTCCCGGATGCGGGGCCCGCGTCGGAGGGGGATTTTCAACTCTATGATGACGATGATGATAGATTCGTAGAAGACGATATGAAGGATATTGGTAGCAAGGACGGGCATATGACACCATTGTTATAGCATTACGCGTTCGTGGTGTTGTTATGGTATCCAAGTTTGGCATTATCAAAATACTGGTACCTCTTTTTTCGTACTCCTTGAATAAAGGTCTAGCTAGCTATGGCACGATGTGGCTATATCTACGAAAGTTGGGTAGAGGTGAACTAAATAGTCTAAAAGACCTTACCGACAATATCTCCTGAATAGGAGACGAAATTACTGAATATTAGTAGGATATGCCTTCAACTCGAAGGCTTCAAGTGTGTATTTACAGAAACAGTCTTTTCCTAAATATCTTAGCGCTAAGTCAAAGCACATAGCAACCATATTCTCGCAGTTATTAAATTTGCCATGTCTCCTTATATCCGAAGACCTCCTTTAGTAATAGAAAGCGCAATTTCCGCCCAAGTAAATATGAAGTAACAAAAAACCATCAAGAGCAAGTGAAAAGGAACAAAAAAAACAGCTTACGTATGTCTCCTTAAGTATCCCACGCCTCGAAACGACATCCAGACCACGCACGTTTCACCGCAGCGCGTTCTGCTTGCGTGCATGTCGGACCCATCGGCTCTCAGGGGCCGGACCCAGATGCCGGGATCATTTACCAGGGGTCCAGGAACGAGGTGAGCCTCATAGTAGCGACGGGCGGTAGTCGATCAGGTGCCGATTCCCGAATAGGAGTGCCGAGATAGGCTCCTGGGGCAACCTGAAGCGAGGAATGATATTTGAGTCTGTCCTGCCCTGAACATTTCTCTCAGCAATTCTTGGCTTTAGTAACCAATCGCAAAGCATGTTTTGCCTACGCGGTCCGGGTAGAGTTGTGATTACAAGGTATCTTTGGCTTCGTCTTGACTTTACTGTTTGCCATATGGCTATATGAAAGAGCCGCGTATCGGATCGTCGTTTAGATAGACGTTTATATAGATGTCCTACTCTGTTGTGCACGTATTAGATACTCAAGCAGAGAGATATTTAGCATTATTAATCGGAGAATCACGATCAATAGAACACAGAGCGCGAGTATAAATCTAACTGTAAAAAGATATTGCACGTTTGGTTAAACTAGATACAAAGGTATATATGGTATCGACATCTACTATAGCTCCGAGTTTCCAACTTCATCTCCGTATATCGTAGACACATCGCCGGCAGCCGGAATCTAAAGAGGTATCCACCGAGCCCAAAAGGTTTAAGTATATATTAATTTATCTCATCATGGTTGGTCCGGCCAGGTCATAGAGTATGGTTTGCTTGTCGAGCTAATTAAGAGTCCTGGCCACTTTTAAGTCTACGTGACCAGTCCAGCAAAGAACGCACTCTACCCCGAGCGAAGGAAAACCAGAAATTGCCTCCGATTAATACATAAATACAGTGGCCATCTGCGTCCGGCGCCGGTGATAGGGTGATGCTTTCGAGGTTTATTGGCACCATGTCGGCCAAGTCTTGTATATACACAAGTTTAGAAGTTTTCTTTGCCCCAGACGAAGGAGAAGCTATCGAATTCGGTTAGCTAGCTGTCCGCAGAAAAGCTTCTCATCAAATTACAATCATGAAATTAACTTACCCAGGTTCGCTGTACTTATTACAGAAGACGTGAAGTACACTACCGAGACCCTTGGGTCCACAGAAGAATACACCCGCCTCAGCCGGCGAATGTAGCTTCCTGATACCTCGGAAGATCATATCCCAGTTAGGACGTCCGAAGTTTGTCGGGCTGCGCAGTCCAGTGATTGTGTCCTTGTCGGCGTTGGCGTCGTTGATCATGATATTTGTCGCATCATCGGCCTTGATCTTGGCTGTGAGATAGGTGTGGATCTCGATTCTGTTGTCAACATCCTGAGCTTCGATGGCCATCAGTAGGGAACGGAACCATTCGAAAGAACCGAAATCTCTGCAGATCCAGAAGAAGTACACCTTCGCAAGGCGGGTCTTCTTCTGCGGGTAGTTCATCCGATACCAGATCGACTTGAGGATGGACGCGAAGGGCGTAACACCAATACCGGCACCGACCAGCATGGAAACCTCGTACTTGAACACATCTTCTGAAGCAGAACCGAACGGACCGTCGACATATACTCGGGGAAGAACTCTCTTTAAGGCAGGATCAACCTCGTTGTTCTGACCGTCAACACCTACAACTGTCGATGCGTCCTTCTCCTTCCTCTCGAAGTCACATCCGAGCGCTTTAGCCACACCCTTCGTGAAATCACCAACCATACGGATATGGATCGAGATATAATCCTCTTCGGGAGCGCTTGTCAAGGTGAACGGGTGGTATTGCCAAAGAGACACTTCCGGGCAACAGAAGAAGATATACTGCCCAGCCTTGGTTTTGGTGTTTTCCTTCTTGATTTGAATTTCGCAAACGTTACTCGGGTGCTGGATAACTTTCGAGATATAAGTCTTGTGACGTCCACGTAGTTCACGGGCAACTCGTTCGGCTAGATAGGTAAATCCTCCGACCATCCAGTACTGCCAGAAGACACCAATAGCGGAGGTACCGATCGAGATACAGAATGGCGCGAGATCGGGCTGAATCATACAGAAGGCACCATGGAAAGACCAGAAAAGGAAGAAGACGATAAACATGTGGTGAGTGTACCAGAATCGTTCGTAGTTTGCTCGTCTCGGCTTCTCATACGATGTCAATACCATGCCTGTGAGCGCGACCAACATGATATAACCCGTCCAGCCTGGACCAGATACCAAGTTGGCGACCAAAAATCCGTAGAATCCCAGGTTGTTCTTAGCAGCGATCTGCGCCAAATTGTTCCAATGGGCGATCGTGTGGACCCAGGAGAAGAAGAAGATGGACCAAGCAGTAGTGATATGGAACGTAATGTTCTTATCGAATTGGATAATACCGTTGAGAGGCGTCTGTCGCGCCATCGAGATGAATGTCCTACAGACCGGCAGCAGAATCAAGGCCACATCCACGTGGAGAACCAATGCTGACGATCTAGCAATCATATAAGTCGGTCCAAAAGTATCTCTCGCTACTTGTAAATTGTCCTTGACGGCGTAGTTGACGAAACCGAACGCGAATACTAGGGCATGGAGAACCATGAAAACGAAGACGAAACTGGCCGATGGTTAGTAAAGAATCATATCAAGGAAACTCACGGTTGGTACAAACAATCTTCGGTAGCCCTCGTTGATCATCCACTTATCGAACCTTTCTCGCATCGTCAACTCCTTTTGCCGTTCCTGCGTCATCTCTCCCGACAGCAACATTCTTGTTAACGGCGTCCATCTTGACCTCTCCGAGGGCTTCTCGCCCATATCGTAGTACGACATCTTGGATGAAGGGCGTTGGTACGAATTAATTATTTCGCGGTCGTTGTGGAAATTCGCTTTTCGAACAATATCCAGTCGTCTTCCAAGTCCACTCGTATCTCCAAATACGATCACCAACCCGACACCACTAATACCCCCTCTTCTCTATTAGACTTTTTAATTATATATCGGAATCGCGTCCCCGGGTGCGGGAAAAAAAAACAGGTAATACTAATTCAGAACCTGCTGAACGGGCAAGAAGCCATAGAAGGAAAGAATCGGCAAGGTAAGGGATGAAAAGAACAGTCAAAAGAAGGTAAGGTTGGCCTGAGAGCTTGCTATAGCAGCTGTCGGTTAGCCAACGCAAGAATCGAATAGCGCACCTACGAGAACGAAGACGGGAGGGGAAAGCGTTTGTGAGTAGACGAAGGGAGAGGAGAGAAAGGTTCCGAAGATCTCATGCAAGAGACGGGAAGGCGGTGGATATTATGGAAGACTGCCAAGAATAGGAAACATCAGGCCATACTCGTAGATCATCCCTGGGTACAGCGCCGCAACGAGGTTTTACTTAACGTCAACTCTGCTATAGCTCCATCTAGTAGTAGGCCACGAAATTCTCGAGAGACCTCACAATTTGCCAGGGGGGGGAAGAATACACTATGAGTGATGTGATCCTAGGGGTTACTAAAGAGGATAAGGGGAAGACAAGTATGAAACCATGTATCAGTAACTTATGGCGGTAGTATATCCAGGCATATGCGACCAGGTACATGTAACATTTATCAGGGGTTCTTAGACAGATGGGTCCTCGATCTGGACGACAAGCGACAAGTGGTTACAGCCTTACCGCAAACGGTTTCGAGGCAATTGAAGTACGAAGGAGGCTCAGGACGTCCACGTTTCTAGGTTGAATTAGACTAACGGGTTTGGGTGTAAGATGCGAGTATTGTGCATCTTTGCGATGACGGCAATGGTAGTAAATAAATATAAGTGCTCAGATAATAGAAAAATACTTGTCAATCGAAAAAGAACAGCGCTTTTGCTACCGTTATCGAAAGTATTCATCGAAGAATCTTCGTCCATGACATATTCCGTTCTACTCTGCCGAGCCAGGACTGTCTGATGTTCGGATCCTCGTCCAGGTCCAGGATAGGGAGGTGGGTAATGGCACCACTTCCATCGCGGCGACACGCCTCGATACAAGAGAGACACAAAAGGGCCTGTGCAATCCTCGGCCAGGCTAGAACTACATGTATGTATCGTAGCTGGGGGCGGAGGTCACTTCGTGGAAGGGTTAGGAGGTAGGAGGTACAAGATGAAAAAAGGAAAAGAATATGAGGGGGATCAAGCTTGGACTCGGTTTGGAATGTGGAGAAGTCGAGGAAAATCTCCGACGTTTTATTGGTCAGTATTCGTAATATCCCCCGGCGCCTGTGCCTCAGATTGTTTCGTCAGGGGGTCCTTAGACAACATTCGAGACTTGAATTACCAAGGGTCCCGTAGCAAAAGGAGCAAAGCGCCAGTAGAATATTATGCCCAACCCACCTTGAGTGCTTGTCACGACGTGGATGAATCAAATAGAAGCTTCACTTTTTCTTCTTTGGGATCTTGCAGGTTGTTAAAGAGGTATTATTCATGCCATCATGATATGATCAATCGATACGAATATATCCTTTAGTACGGATTAAACAAAGTTGGTTTCTCTACGAAATCCTCAGACATTTTACAACACAACTTAGTAATTGTTAAAAATACGATATTTAGGGGGAATACCAAGGAAGCGCTATACAATTTTGGCAACATTAGACAACATCAGCTAAGCTTGAATCTATTAAAAATTCCAGGCTTAGTCTCATCAGCCGCTTGACGCCAGCGAAAGCCGCTCACGGCGCAGGTCCAAAATGTAACCACCAGATTATTTCTCTAGAAGCAAACAAGCAACATAATAAATGATCACATCACCAACCTGGTAACGATTTAATTCAACTCGAGCCTACCTACCTAGGTAGGTAATCTACAAATAAACATCCTTACCGTCACACGATGCGGCTAGATCCCAGAGTCGATCTCATCAAGTAGTAAAAGATCGCACATCTATATATGCCTATATATGCCTACATAGACCACTATATCCCGCGCATCAGATCGATATTCTTTCACATTCCCAAAGTTTTCTATATATTTCAGTATCATCTCCCTTTCGCTCTACCTCGATGTCCTCGTGACTTAACGCCGCACGCATCTAAGTTAGAAAAGACCGAACGAATCCCCCCAGATCCTACAACCTGGAGACATCCAAATCCGGATATCAAAATATCTCCTCGACGTCTATATTTGTACCTCCCTCACTTGCGGTAGGATCATGTACATAGGTGCAACGATATACCCAAACAAATGTCTTACTATTTAAACCAACACACCATCACCGTACGACCGGCGGTGAAATCATAAGTTAGATATAAAACTATTGTTTATACATTAGGTAACTAGGTAGTCTATGTACCTGGGTTTGGCGGTTAAAACAAGGGGTGCATGTGGGTAAATGCATACGCCACGTTTTCATATATCTCACTTCCTCTATCACATGTACCTAAACAACAAATCGAAACGCCGTATTCTAAAATATCTTTACTACTCAAAAAAAAAAAAGGCCCCCAAAAGGTTGACCCGGGCTGATCCTGGCATCTTAGATTGGTTGGCTTTACGTTAACGTTACAGGTGACTCGACTTATAATGGCAAACCCTAATAATCCTTCTCAAGGCTTGACATTAATTACTATTCATCGTATGGGCTGTCAGCTGTCACTAGTTGGGATAGCATCTATAGGAATCCGAAGAGTTCTTCAGACTATTCAGGCCATAATAAGCCCTAGAGCTTATTAATTGACTCCACAAGTAACATACGGGCAAGTGAAAAGGGAAACGTGAATGCATTAAAACAAATCTGTGATGAATGTAAAGGAGGACTAAAATGTAAAGCCAGAGAGTTCCTCCAGATCACTCCAACATATCATGTCTTTCGTAGAACTTCATCCTCCTTAGCAAGTCATTCTCATTCCACTCCCGAAAGCATGTGCTCTAATGTTCATTGAAGAGGCACACTAAACCATAACGACGAATGGACAGACACTGGTGAATGCAGATCGTATTGCCTAGGTTGGAAGAAAAAATCCATGTCCCTTCCAGTATCGCTACCGATAAGTGCTATGCTCACTACCTCCGATGCCAAGCGTCATTCTTCGCCAGCGAATTCTCCTTACTCGTTATCTTAGATGGCATACTTGCGAGTCCACTCGCGGGCCGTAGCTTCATATCTTGCCCGGTCGGTCTTGTAAACGTGGGCGATCTCGGGGACGAGAGGGTCGTCGGGGTTAGGGTCGGTAAGCATAGAGCAGATTGACAGGAGCACTATACAATGTTAGAACCAGAATATGTCTCAAAGTTAGCATACGACATTTACCTTTAGAGATGGTCAACGCCGGGCTCCATTGGTCCCTCAAGATGTCCAAGCAGATGCTTCCATTAGAGTTGATATTCGGGTGGTAGATACGAGTTGTGAAGTTGACCTTAGGAGGCTTGAACGGGTAGTCTGTCGGGAAGTGGATTGCGAGGAAGAAGACACCTCCAGAGTATGGCGAATCACCCTACAACGTTCAGTTAGTACTGCGAACCGATTTACAATATATAACAAGTTCGGCTAGAAGAACTACCACTAGCAAAGCACCAGCCCGTGGCGTACACGGCAACATGCGCGCGCAAAGGAACAGGAAAGGCGAGGGGAACAGAGGAATAGCTTACCGGTCCCATGATCGTCGCTTGCCAGTGGAACTGCACAGAGAAACAAGAAGTCAGTTATAGTTCATGACGCGAGGCTTCCTAAGGTATAGTTGTTCGTGCCCGACCGAGTCATGCGGCGAGTAGATAGTATCGACGCTGATCATTTTTTTTTGGTGGGGGAAAGATGATGCCTACCAAATCTTCACCAACGGGACCAGCAGAGCATGATGAAGGGGGGTCACTAATAGAAAAGAGTATTAGCAAAATGTCCAAAGTATATCCTCCTAGTAAAAAAATCATCCCTAGCGATGGTAGACGAGTATGAAGTTTTCCTTGATGAGGCTGTATTGTATCGAGATCCCCGCCCTGCCTTTCTATGGCAGCCCCACCTTGGGCTCATTCAGGATACAGACGAAGTACCATCGCCAAACAAACATTTACTATGGTAAGAACAACAAAAATCGACATACCGGCCCAGGTCTGTGAGTTCCTTGTTGATTCGCTTCAACGCCATTTCGTAGAGGTGTGGGTTGTGAGTTTGCGGTTTCTTGTTTTGGCCGGCAGCGGTATCTCTACAGAAGAGATCAACTACTTATACTTGCGGTCAGTATGGAATGCGGGAGAAATGGATAGAGTTATAAAGGCAAAGGTTTGTAACCGTAAGGAAAAGGGGGATGTTATAAAGAACAAATATAAACGTACCAGAGGATGGAAGTCCGGATGACTACGGTCAAAGTTGAGGATATGAATGAGGACAGGATGTGGTGTCGTTGTTATTATGATTATCGTTGTCGAAATGATTGTTTGATGGTGACTGTAGATACGAAAGGGTTGGTAGCGGGGGAAAAGGGAAAGTCAGGCAGGTCTTTCAGGTGACGGAATGAATGGAAATGGGAATAATTAGGTCAGCACAGACCAGTCATAAAGAAACGGACAGGGCGGGTAGGCGCTAACACCTTTTTTTTTCTTTAGTCCAATCAATTTTGCAGTCGTCTTGCTTGGTCTTGCTGGTCTTGCTGGTCTTGCTGTAGCTTCTCCAAAAAAGAGTGGCTGAGAGTGGCTGAGAGTGGCTTAGCTTACACTGCTACGCGGTGGTACCTGGTTTTGTACTGGATGTGCACTGGGCTGACTAGTACCTGATGAGTCTGACAAAAATCACAAAATCGGCAAGACAAACCCTGTTTGGACCAATTGGAAGGAACCGTTTTGCTCCCTTTGAGCCCGAAGAGACGGCGCCTTAGGCTTGTCTGATCGGTCTGGTTACACGGAAGCACACAGATCCCCACACCGCCACCCTACCGTCCAATCCTAATCTATTAGACCTACTAACCGCGCCTGCACTTCCCAATCTCTACCACTTACAGCTCGTTTTCGCCTCAGCTGTCAGCAATTGTCACGCTTCACATTACTCATGCTGAATAACAATACTTTAGTTTGATTTGTCGAAGTTCTTTGGGACGGTTGGAGTAATGTGAACCCGCATTATGACTTGTTTGGGTCTGTTCGGATGCCTTGACTCTATCTCAGCCTAATAAACAACATCTTCCTTACGAGGCCTGTAGCTAATATTTATGAATGCTTCATATTGGAAACGCTCAAATCCCTTCCAAGTTAGCTTCATAAGATAACTCGCTAAATACCCAATAGCTACGTTGTTATACAAAAGCCTGGAGCCCAGTTATGGCTCTTCCGAGAATGAGGCCTGTACCAGGTTGGTTAGCAAACGTCATCAGTTTTATGGCGGCTAACTCACTGTGAATATCGCTCTGCCCTTCATAAGTCTGGGTCACAAATAGGTTGGCTACATGCCTTCCGATTCCGTACTCGTCGCTAACCGCATTACCCCCGAATATTTCTTGCAGCGCCCTCGCGTTCACAAGCGCACGGTCACAATTTTGTCTTTTTACCATGCTAATCATATCCGGTGTAGCTTTCCCTTCATCCTTAAGCCTACCAACCTGTATCGATGCGAGCACGCCATACGCAGCATCCGTCACAGCATCCGCCAGCTTCTTCTGCACCAGCTGATACTTGGCAATAGGGTTACTCTTGAACTGCTTCCGCTCTAGAGCATATTCCCGCGCCCGGGCAATACAATCTTCCAAGGCGCCCATGGTGCCAAAAGAAATACCATACCGAGCGCTATTTAAGCATGTAAAGGGGCCAGTCAAGCCCTCGACATCGGGGAACATGTTTTCTTCCGGTACCGGGCAATTGTCCATATGTATCATACCTGTAATACTAGCCCTAAGTCCGGTCTTATTCTTGATAGCCGGTGTCTCCAGGGTGCCGGGAGGGCAATCCTTTTTATCTATAAGGAATCCCTTGATCTTGCCAGTCTCCTGTAACTTTGCCCACACTAGAAGCACATCGGAAATGGGGGAGTTGGTGATCCAAGTTTTAGAACCACTTAAAAGCAAATAACCCTTTTTCGTTGGATGCGGTCGTGCTGTCGATTCCATTGATCCCGGGTCGCTACCGTGATTGGGTTCTGTGAGTCCAAACGCTCCAAGAAGTTTACCCTTCGCCATATCGGGCAGATACTTCTCTTTCTGCTCCTTGGTCCCAAACTCATAAATCCCACCCATAACCAGCGAGGATTGCACCGACATGCCAGATCGGTACCCGCTATCGACTCGTTCGACGGCTCGAGTAATCAAGCCCGACGCCACTGTCGATGCGCCAGCGCAACCGTAGCCATGAAGATTCGCGCCGAGGAGGCCAAGTTCACCCATTTCGAGCAAGATAGCCGGATCATAGTACTCGTCACGATACGCCTCTGAGAAGTACAGTCAGCGGGTAAGCTATTGGATTATATAAAAGACAAATTGTCACTGGAATAACTCACGTAAAACCCGCGGCAGTAATCGCTCTTGGCAGTATCGCTCTGCGGTCTCCGAGATAGCTAATTCCTCCTCAGTGAGCAAGTTCTTGCTCGCTAATGGGTCTTCCCAATCAAACGAAGACTTCGGGGCAGAAGCATAGCTTCTACTAAAAACCTGACATCGCCATGCAGGCACGGCCAATGGCCTCGTAACGCGCGATATTACCGGACGAAGCATGACTGCACTCTCAATCAGGAAGAATTGAGGTGAGCACAATGGGGATTCCCTACCTGAAGCTATCCATGGCGATGATGGAGGCGGTTGCGGGGCCGAGATCGAAAACAAACGAATCCAAACAAAAATTAGTGGAATGGCGCCCCCGTTCGGCGGCCCTCGGCATTCCTAGAGCGGCGGGAATATTCGGTAGTAACTTCGGCTAACGGCGGATTCTTACGCTAATAATTAAACTCAACACCAGAAAATGCATAACATTGCCTCAGGTACCTAGGTACATAATGCTAGGTACCTCAGGGCTGTATTATGTAGACTTCACGATACATATCTGAAGTATATGTAGTTCCCATGCCTTCCATATCCACGCAACGTCCCGATTACTCGACTACCTAGGTCGATATACCCGTTGGTATGGTACTATGAGTCCTATACGATCTCATACCTAAAGGATATATGTTACCTGTTACTTGCCTGTATAACAGCGGGGAGATACACAAGGTAAGAAGTAAACTCTAAAGCAAGGAGTAAGCAGAAAGATCGTTTCAAGAATCGAACCTTCTATATGTACTCCGAGGTCCTTGAAGAGGAAAGTAGCACAGATACCATCTTCATGCCGTGGAAGCAACTAGCAACTGGAGAATATAATTGCAGTTTCATTACTTCAATTAGACCCTAGGTAATTAGCGGATAACTTATCATCTATACCTTCACTTATACAAAATCATTCCTAATCCTCCTCTCATATTTCCTTATCAACTTAACGATCCTATACCTAAACCGACACCTAGAATCATGCCCTTTGTTTTTACCAAGTGGCGATAAATTTTTGAAGCCTTTTGGTTCCGTATTCGCCATCGCCTGTCGTCTCTTTCCAAGTATATCAGCTCCTATTTCGTGAAGCAAACCCCCGAAGAGTCATGATACCCTCGTTATGCAAGCTATAGATTATGGGTATTCACTGCTCACCGCAGAGCAACATTTATTATCCCCCAACTCGACGGGACATTCCTATAGCGGTCAATGTCATCCTCATAGATGTCACTCTCATAGCTGCAAATCGGCCCCCGCCGAACAACGATGGGATGAGAACAATCGAGAATTCGAGGGTGGGCATTGGCTGTTCTCTCCTAAACCGCACACATTCCATTCACGCCCAACCATCTCCGGGGCCTCTTTCTCTTGCCAGGCGCGTCGGGCCCCCGAAGCTTGTAAAGATCGGCCCCTTACGCCAGTCAGCCCGAACTCAGTCGGCTCTGAGGACCTCAATAACCAATGGGAACGTAGCGCGGACGACGAATTAATTTCAAATTGGCTGTCGGGTGTTTCTTATTCCCACTGTCCAAACCATGAGACCAATTTGACCGGGCAAAGTACCCCGGGTGCTTCTCCAGACGCTCCAGACTCAGGTGGTAATGTAGATGTAGGTCCAAGCTTCACTTGCCCAAGCATCATACTACAACCTCCCAGGCAAAATCTATCGACTGCGCAGTCCGGGACTGGCCTTGATGGTCCACTTAGTTCTGAAAGCGACAAGCTTTCGAAAATACTCCGGGGTGGGCTTAGTGATTTAAAAGAGTCTAGCCGAAGTGCAGATCTATCCGGCGGCTCTCAGAAGCTCAAGTCTAATACATCTGGATCTATAGACTGGGAGAAAAGCTAGGGAAAAAGAGAACCCCGTCGGAAACATGATGTATCAGAAATGTCAAACTCCGGATTTCCTCGTCGTACGCGTCTAGTCGATCCTTCCCCAGTTGATAATAAAAACAATGAAGACAGCAGCAGCAGCAGCAGTAGCGAGGATGTCTCTGAGAAGTCATGTTTATACCTTTCGCAACCCAATGTTCAGTTCCACGTTATTCAAAGACATGCTCATAACTCATGCCCGGAGTTTTGTCGACAACTGGATGATTTTGAGAGGCCACCGTCAAGACTAGAGGTACGTGTCCCTATTTATCGACAACTCTATCTACTAAAGGTAGTTATATATCTAGGGTCAAGGCACCCAAGCGCGAGCCCATGAATTACGCCCCAAGGTTGACAAAAGCCGATACCGGCATCATTTACGTGTCCGTAATATTGTCACAAAGCAATTCCGGTCTCTTAGACAGAGGATTCGACGCTCAGGCTCTTCAACATTTTCTGTTCGATCCGAGTTTCCTGCTCCACGGCATAGTAAAGAACGCCGGCTCTTGGCTCGGGACTCCATGGGTACTTGGCCGCCATCTGGCGAGGAAAGCCCATTGTTTAATACTCCCGAGTCTAATGCTACTAACGCCAAACGTATCTCTCAAGACATTGGGCGTCACATCGACCCCTTGGCTATGGCTAGTGTGATGATTGCCACGGCGGAGCTTGACCGGCTCTCATCGAGGAGGAGTCTTGACTTACTCTCTAGAACGTCTGGCTCATCAACGTCAACGGGCGTATCGGGAAATTCTCCTACTTCGCATACACCATTCCATAGTGGTGTCACGAGTCCTAACAATGAGATATCTGCGTCAACCTCCACAGCTCTTGATATGCCTCCAACTATTCCATTCAATACGCCCTTGTCGTCGGATCCACAATCTGGCGTTATAAGCCCAGTGTCTAAATCGTCACGGCGGCGTGGAAAACGACGAAGGGCACAGCGCAGTCGTTTATCGGAAGTTACAATACCAGATAATATTGCGTCACCAGCGGAGTCTGCCGAAGAGTTCAATGAAGGTCTTCCAATTTCAGTTACTCATATTGAAACTCTACCAGAATGTTCAAGTATGCCCAGTAAGGGAACCGAGGAAAGTCTCTATCCTAAGCCATTAATAATCAGCCGCAGCGGTCAAGAAGAGTCTAATTCATGTATTGACGATACTTCAGAATATGCGCAAGAATATTTCCCTAGGTCTGAACCTCTTGAGCCTGTCCTTCTCCCAGCTGACTCGGGGAACGAACTCGGTACCTTGCAGCGACTCTCGGGTTCTTTGGCTTCGGATATAGAAGACGTGATTCCGGCTCGAGTCTCATCAACTGGCGAAATGTCTAAGACTGGTGACGAACCATTGCTACCAAATATGCCCCTTGGGCTTGGATATAATTTTCTAATGCCGACTGCATCTTCCAGCCTAATAGTACCAATAACGCCAAGAGAAACATATAATACCTACCCAAGCTCTACCGCTAATATAGAAGGCGATATCTCGGCCGTAGGGGCTGTAATTGACTATACAGTAGCGACAGGTCAGCCAGATAAAGTAGCGGAACCCGATTCCTGCCACCCAGATACCTAGTCGGAGTCTCAGGGCGAACCTGGAAATTCGGATCCTTTTTGTCCTATCGATTGCCTTGAAACTAGACGGAGCAGCCAAGATAGCCTTCCGCGACCGCTGACGCTAGCGAGATAGAACACGGATGAGACTGTACACAAACTAAAGGCGGACAAAGTGCGGTATATACTGGAGAAAGTAGCCTAATACAGGTTGCGGGATAGTGTTAGGATAGGGTAAGGCATTTGCGGGGGTGGAGAGAAGGGTATGGGTTAGGGGCTGGTTTAGATTGATAGTAGGGCTTGACTTTGCGGTTGCGGATATATAGACCTAGGTACTATATTACCTAAAATAGTAGAATAATATGTCCTATTAAGCTTTATATACCTAAGTGAATCGCCGTTCTAGTGAAAGTTTTCATCAAATGTTGGATCTTACACTATTTTATGTGGAACTAAATTTCTAAGTTATTAATTGTTTGCTCAGGGGTTTAACTCTTAGTCGGTATCATTCATAGGTACCTACACCTAGTTATTATTGCCCACACGCAAATTTAGGGCAATGAACAGGACAACAAACTACAAATACCGAGACACCTTCTCTATTACCTAAATAACTAAGAATCCTCTGAGATTGTCAATCTCAAGTTGTCTCGGCCGAGTCGAATAAACTCCTCGCTAACCATCTAGGCTATCCCACCACCCCAATTTTCGCCCCTCTACCAATTCATTGTTAAGCTCGGATCTAGTCATAAGATCTAGTTATAAGAATACTTGCTCTCACGATAGATGATTCCGGGATGCTATTTTCTGGTATAAATTCAGCGAGCCGATCTCCCAGAGAAATACTTTTTATAAGTAAACCTGTAAGTTAGATAAAGAAATCACTGTTTTTGTGAAGGGGATACCTGACACTGCCTCCTGACTTTCTATGAACCGTAGTCTATCGGGTTACGTAGGTGGGGAACAGGAAGAAACTGATGTTATAAAATGGAATTGCTGCAGAATTAGCGAGTTAGGATGTCTTCTCGCCTGGGTCCGCATCCAATCCACTTGACCCTGACGCCGAGGAAGTCTTCGATGAATGTGACGTAGTCCTGGGCCTCCTTGGGCAGGTCTTCAAAGTTCTTGGTGCCGGTCGTCGTGGTATTCCAGCCTTTCATGGTCTTATATACGACCTCGACTCTGGACAGGAGCTTCGCGCTGGCGGGGAAACCTTTGATGAGCTCGCCGGTATCGGGATGCTTGTAAGCTACCGCTACCTGTATCTCTTCAAATGTATCGAGGACGTCGAGTTTGGTGAGATTTAAGGAGTCGTAGTGGTTGACGCTGTTCGAGTACTTTGCCGAGACTAGATCCAGCCAGCCGCAGCGGCGTCTGCGTCCCGTGGTCACGCCGAACTCGTGTCCGATTTCTTGGAGCTTGGTGCTGACGTCGCCGAAGTCTTCCGTGGGGAATGGGCCGGATCCGACTCGCGTGCAGTACGCCTTCAGGACGCCGATGACGGAGTGTACCTTTCGGTAGTTGAGGTTCAACCCAGCCATTACACCGCCGAACGTGGTGGTTGTCGACGTTACATAGGGCCAGGTTCCGTACGTGTTGTCTAGCAGGGCTGATTGCGCGCCTTCGACGAGGATCTTTTGTCCTTTTTCCTGGGCCTCCTCGAGGAATTCGACATCGTCTACGGAAAAGGGGCGGAGTTTCTCACGGAAGTTCTAGGGGGTTAGAAGAGTACAGTCGAAGGGGCAGTATCTTTACCTCGAGCTCTTTGATTTCCGCCTCGACGTCATATCCGGCCAAGTCCCCGCCGAATCTTAGTTTGTAATCCTTCTCCGTTGCCCTGATTCGGTCTCCGAATTCATCATTGTCAAGAAGATCGGCGAGAAGTACGGTGCTTCTCTCGGCCTTGGAGCTGTAAGCAGGGCCAATACCTTTACCTGTGGTGCCTATGTTCTTCTTGCCAAGCTGCACTTCGTGAAGACGATCCACGGCTGCATGAAGATCAAGGTTTAGTGCGCAACGCGTTGAGACTTTAAGTCTCTGTTGGGCATTTACGACTCCTTTCGCTTCGATGCTAGCAAGCTCGGAGAAGAAAGTAGGTACGTGCAGGACAACACCAGGTCCAATTATATTTATTGTTGACGGATGAAGGAGTCCCGATGGCAGCATGTGGCTTTAGACAGTTAGTGGTGTTAAACAGGTAGAGTGAAATGTGATACTTACAAGTCGTATGATACTCCTGCAGCAACAACAGCTATGCGACCACATGCGCATTAGTATATATGTTTATTTTTGAGAAGACGAATAGGGGCATCTTACTGTGACCACAGTTTCGCCCGCCGGTGGCTCTAGCGCAAATCTGAACATCGGAGCTGAGGATATCGCAAAGTTTGCCTTAAGAGAGGCGTATGACAAAAGTCATCTTGTTAGGTGATGTCTTATGGGTAAATCAGTAAGTAACAGCCGACTTACCTTTTCCTTCACTAGACGTATAAGACAGGTTAGCAAGAAAGGATATAAACAAACAGTTAACTAAAAGTAAGAACATGGAATTCTTACTCTCCCCATTGAACACCCAATACGATCGTAGCCATGGTGGGAAAGTTTCTTTAACAGAATGTAGCGCGTGAACGAAGACAAACGACAACAGGGAGACAAACCGGACTTCACGTCTCGGGTATTTATCTTGTTATAATAGCAATGGCAATTGAGCTTCATGGAGGGACAGTGGAGTAAAACTACGAGGTATACTCTAGTAATAGGTTCTACGTGAGATAGTTACTAGGACTTCAACTAAATGATACAAACACCTAAATAGACAACACCGTCGGTTATAGCCGGGCTCCGGTCGCTCCTCCGTTTATGACCCGGAGCCCATTGGATGCTTTTACGGTAACGAGATTCTCGACTCATAGCAAACACCTTATTTTGGCAGCGGCATTTATTGGACTTGAGCTAAGATGAAAGTTTTTCGTCTCATCAGTTTTTATTGGGCTAATTTGAAATATGATTCTTCTAATTTGAGTGAACGGGGAATAGACCGGAGACAAGTGGACACTTTGTAGACTTACGGACCCGTTGCTCTGGGCTGACACTCAAGTACCTGTCTAAGTTCCCATAGGTTCGATTCTACTTCTAGTCGATCTTAGATCCTTGAACTGGCCACTGATAGTATCACGAGTGAACCCGGGCTTGGTCTTGTAGGTTGAGACGGATAAGGACAAGTATTCAAAGATACTGTACTTATAAGCCCCTGTGTATATACGTCATGCCTTCGTCTATAATATCCAACACAACCAGATATAATACCATGGCACGGAACATAAGTAGTTCCAAGCCTCGAGGCTTTTATTTATTCTTCGAAGAAACCCAACGCCGTGCATGCAGTATTCATACAAGTCCTACTGATTATGGACCGATATATCCCACAAAAAGGGTAAAAACATTATCGACTCCCATCGCCACTCATGCCAACCATTTCGTACTCTCCAACTCCATCTCTCCCTCTACCCCTTCCACGGCCCCTAGAGAAGCCCATCTCTTCATCGCCTTGATTTCCCGCAGCCCCGTTCTGCGCTGTAGCAGCGGCGCCACCCTCCGTATTATTATTCTTCGCGTTGCCTCCAAAACTGATGGGCCGCAATTCCCTCCACTGGCAGCCATAAGTACCTCCCACGACAGTTACGGCGCTCGAAACTATTGCTGTAGCCCACCAGGCAACGTTTCGCGGTAAAAAGCCCGTATAAAAGGTCACGACGACGAGGTGGATGAAGTGGAGGGTAAGCGCAAAATCGATTACGAGCTTCGACCGGCCTATGAAAGCTACCATAGCTACTATGCTGTATCATCATATTATTAGTATCATTCCGCCTAGATCCGAGGACGAGGGGCACCAACGCAGCGCCGGCGCAACATAGCCAGATAAATCCCATCAACCACCCTTGCGTCGTGTCGCCGCGCAGTTCCGCCCAGCCGAAAACCAGGTCCAAGCTAAACCGAGTCCCGGCGACTAGAGATGTGAAGAGCATTAGGACAAGCGCGGCCGCGTAGTATATGCTCTGCAGCGCCGCGATCTGGCCGAGGATTCGTAGAGGGGGTAGTTCGTTCACGGCGCCAGCCCGCGGAGGTCTCCTCCGTCTAGCCATTTTCGAGTTCTGGAATAAAGGAAAACGGAAGGAAATGGGTCTGAACCGCTGCGTAAAGTTCGTCTGATAGTACCAAAAAAGTATTTGAATGAGTGGATGGAAAAGAAGTTGGATATTATTCGCTTCGACGTCGCGCTATGAGGCTACCATTTCTGAATGGGGGTTTCGGTGGTTGATCTATTATATTAGGTACGTAAAATTGCTAGGTGAGAAGTAAGGCGCGAAAGTGTTAAGTCGTAAGGAGGATGGTGTTGTCGAAATTCTTGAATCATCTGGGCTTTGGCTATTATTAATTTGACGAAGGTTAGGCTAGTCTAGGTCTAGTCATGCGCCTCGTCTGGCGATTGTTCAGAAAATCAATTAGCGGCCCATATATATGATGGGGAAAAGGGTAACGTAAATATAATGGATTATTAGTGCAATTATGCCAAAATTAAAAAAGTCGGTTATATTATACCTAATATAGTTAAATATATTATAACTATTAAAATTTATATATTTTAAAAATTAATAATAAATATTTATATTTTATATAATTTAAGTAAATATTTTTTAATAATTGGTATATATTTATTATATAAATTATATATTGTTTAAAAAAAATTTAAGTTTTATAAATTATTTTTATAATAATTAATTTAAATATATATAGTTATATTTTAATAAAAAAGATATTAATTAATTAAATTTAATTAAATAATTTTATATATATAAAAAAATTTTAATATAATTATTATAATTATTTATAAAATTAAATTTTTTATAAAATTAATAAAGCAAAAAATGGTTATATTATTATATTAATAAATTTGGTAAGTAAGTATATATATTTATTTTATGGGGTAATTTATAAATAATATTATTAAAAAAAAAAAAAATTATATTATATATATAAATATAATAGTTAAATATTATAATTGTAATTATTTATTAAAATATATATTTTTTAAAATTAAATAGGTAAATAATTAATATTTTAATTTATAAAATAAGTGTTTATTAATTAAACTATTTAGTTTTTAAATAATAATTTTAGTATATATTTAACGCCTTTTAAATTTAAGTAATAATTTATTTTTAAAATAATTTTATTTTTACCTTTTTTTTTTTTTTATATATAATTTATTATAAAATAAAAAATATATATAAAATTATATAATATTAGGTATATTATAATATTTAATTGTAATAAAATTAATAATATATTTAAAAAAAGAAAAATTAAAAAGGAATAAATTTTTAATTAATTTTTTTTTTAGATTAAAATTTACTTATCTTAATTTTAAAATATAAAATATAATAAATTTAAAAATTATTATTTAAACCTTATTATTTATATTATTAAATTAAAAGTTATTATATTTTACCGTATTTTTTTAAAAGTGGTTTAAAACCAATTTTCCTTTTTAAAGATTTTTTTAAAAAAAATTAAAAAAAATTATTATAATATTTAAATACTTAAATTAATTAATAAATAATATTATTATTTATGATAATATTTTTTAACTATTTAAATTAATCTTAAATTATAATAGTAATATTTAATTTTTTTATTATAATTATAAATAAATAAATATATAATTTATATAATTATAATAATAAATTTAAATTTTTATAATATTTAAAAAATAATTTTAAATTTATATATATTAATAATTAATTGTAATATAAAATATATTATATTTATTTTATTATTTTTAATAAAAATAAAAATGATATAAATAAAAAAGTTGTAATATTATTAATTAATATATTTAATTTAATTTTAAAAATTTTAAAAATATTAATTTTAATTAATAAATTATAATTTATTTATTTTATATAATATTTTATTAACTAAATAATTTTTTTTTTTAAAAATTGATAATATATTAATAATTTAAAAAAAAATAAAAATATTTATTTTTTTTAAATAAATGTGTTAAATTGCAAATTTTATTTTAAATGATTAATAATAAAAATTTAAAATTTAATTGTAAATAATTATTTATATTTTTTATAATATTTTTATTTATTTTTATTATTTTAATAAATTTAAATAAATTGGATATATGTTTATATTTTAAATTAAATAAAAAACTATTATTTTTTATATATGTAAATTTAAAAGTTATATTAGTAAAATTTTTAATATTAATATTAAAAATAAATAATTATTATTTTTTGGTTGGGAAATAAATATTGGGAGTATTAAATTTAATTTTTTTAATTTAAAATTAGTTATAAGTCTTTTTATTAAAATAAAAATCTATAATATTTAGGTTAAAGGTTTTATTTATATTATTATATTTTAAAATTTTATTAAAAATTTAATTATATATAGTATATAAAAAAAAAAAAAATCTATTAAAAATAAATATTTTTTATTTTTAATTTTGTTAAATAAAAAATATTTGCCATTTTTAATTTTATAAAATAAAAAATGATTTTTATTTTTATTATTATTATTGTTTAAGTGTAATTTCTTATTATTAAAATTAATATTTTTATTAAATTAAGGCAAATAAATATGTAAAAAATTAGGTTAGTATTTAAATATATTTAAATTAAATATTTTTTTATATTTTTTGTTAATTTTATTATTTTTATTTAAAATTAAAACTTTAATTTTATATTAAAATTTTTTTAAAAAAAAATATATAATATTTTTATTAAAAATTAATTATATAAAATAAATAAATAAATATTTAACAAAAATATTTTGTAAACTTTTAATTTTAATATTTTAATATTTTATAATAATTTTGTAGGTTTTATTATTGTTAAGGTTTATATAATTAATATATATTGTAAGTTAATATATTTTAAATAAAATATAAGTAATAAATTTAAGGAAGAAAATTAAAAAGTTATAATTTTATAGGTAATAAAAATTGTTTTGAAGTGGAATTTTATTTTTTTAATTATTAAAGATATTTTTATCTGTATTAATAAAAATATTATTTATTTTATTTTGTTTTATTTAAAATATTTTTTATTTTAAAATAATATAAATTAATTTAATGTTATTTAAATTATTTAAAATGTAATATGGTTTAATTTTTTGGGTTTTAATAGGTATTAAATTATTTAAATTTATAAAAATTTTTATTTAACGTTAAAATAATAATATATTTTTAAACGGTATTTAATTGTTAAAAATTAAAGTAATAATATAATATTTTTTACAGATTAGTAAAAATAGAAACAAAATTAAAAAAATGATAAAAAAGTAAATTTTAGTTTTAAAAATATTATTATTAAGTATGGTAATATAATTTTTTATATTTATAATTTTAAATAAAAAAGGACCGTTTAAATTTATAAAATCTTTACCTTTATTATTTTTTATAAAATTATTTATTAAAATATAATAAATATAATATATTATTAAATATTATATATTATTATTTATTATTAAAAATTATAATATTAAGTTATAATTAATTATAAGAAAATAATACAGGTAATAAATATAAATATATTAAAAAAAATAAAGATTAAAAATATATAATTTTTTATTTAGGTAATAAAAAAGCTATATAATATTAGGAAATGTAAGTTTAATAAAAGAAATTAACAAAATATTTATTAAAAAATGTAATAAATTTATTTTAGAAAAATTTAAAAAAAAATTTAAAATAAAAATATTTTAAGAAATATAAATAAAAGTAAATAGGTTTAAAATATTATTAAAAAAAAATTTTTTAAATTTTAATATAATATATTAAATATAATATTATATATTTATAAAATATTAATATATATTAATTAATATTATAAAATAAGGTAAGTTAAGTAAATAAATAGATATATTTTTTATTTAATATATAAATTTTTTAAATAATTTTTAAAAAAATTATTAAGTTATATTAAAATAGAATTTATAAAATTTTAATAATAAATAAATATTATATTTATAAAGGTTAATTATAATATATTATATTATTATTATATAATAATTTAATAAATTTTATAAATTAAATAAGGTCAAATAACTGTATAAAACTTAATTATTTATAAATTAAATTAAATATATTAATTTTTAAGGTTTATTATATACAATTATATTATTAAATTAATTTAAAAGATTTTATAAAACTATATTTAATTATATTAATTATATTAAATTTCTTATTATAGACTTATTACCATCTATTAATTATATTATTTAAAATATATTTTTTTTTTTTTTTATATATTAATTTAAAATTTAAATTAATTAAATATATTTATAAAAAAATTTCCTTATATATTAATATAATATATTTATTAAAAATTAATAAATGTGTATATATGCGTAGATTATATAAATTAATATAAATTAAAAGATAATTAATAAATATAATTTAATATAAAGTTATTTTTACCTACTATTATAAAACCAAAAAATTGGTAAAAAAAACAATGATTTTTTAGGGAATTTAAAACATTAAAAGTTTTATAATAAATTATAAGGTTTATATATATATATATAATTAAAATGCTTAATTTAGGATTAAATTATGTAAATATTTAATAAAATTAAATAATTACGTAATTTTTGACTGTGATAATTTTATTTTGTAATAAATTATAAAATATTTAAATTTATTATGGTTTTATTTTAAATCTTATTTTAAGAATCTTATCTCGGGGGTCTTATTTCGGGTTTTATTTTAAATAAATATTAAATTTAATTAATTTAAAAGTTATTATAAAATAAAATAAAATAATATAAAAATAATTTTATTATTTTGCAAGGAATTTTAAACTATTTATAAAAATCTATTATTTATATATACTAAATAATTCCTTTATTTTAAATATTTTATTTAAAATCTTAATAAAAATCTTATTAACGGCATTTTAAGGAATAAAAAAATTAAAGGCATAATTAAATATAAAAAAAAAAAAAACCTTTATTTTATTTAATTAAAAGTAATATTATTATTTTTTAAAAATTATTTAAAATTATAAATTATTATATATAAATTATGTAAAGATTTTTATATTTGAAAATAATAAAAAGAAATATTAAACATTATAGGCCATAACGTTATAAAGTTAATAAAATTAAAAACAATATAGTATTAAATATACTGCATTTATTAAATTAATTTAAATATAAAAAATAAATAAAATATTATATTAAAATTATTTTTTTTAAGATTATTTAATAATATAGATTTTA